GCTATTGTGCACTTACTATATGATAGTGTAAACATCTTATTAGGCTTTGATATGCATTTGCAAGTGAAAAAGGCAAAGATCCGCTTTACGGCGATTTTCGCTTTACGGCGGGGGTCTGGTCCCTACCCTGCCGTATAAGCGGTGCCCTACTGTACTCAAAACAGAGCCAAGTACAATCGAAAATAAAACCATTTACTGTCTTAAAACAAATTATAATACATGCACATTACACGGGGTCATATATTGCCCTACTACGAACAAAGAAACTAACAAACAAACATACAAGAACAAACCAAAAGCCTCACAACTCGGCTCGCTCTCAGCAACCCTCAAATTCATCTCCCCGGCCTTGACCACCCCGAGGGACCAATAATAACCGAAAACAACACGGTAGTTGCCCCGTCCACCAACACAACAAAATAAATACCTTCTGGACGGGCAACTACAACATGAAAACAAAATATAAACCACGGTAGCCTTGAAGGGGGGGCCCAGCCGGAGAGACGTTGCCGACCGGATCCGTAGCTACAGTCTGAGTGAGTCCGTGCGCTGGCGAGAAGAGTCCAGCCCAAATCAGTCCCCCTCTCCTGAACTGGCCTAACCTCCCCACACGCATGCGCACCCCTTTTGAAGTTTCGCCATCACAACATCAGAGTCGAATGTAGTCGGCTCAAAAGTATCCCAGGGATTCCCCACCTAGTCACTTCTACTCACATGTGGGTCTTCTTGTAAAGTTCCCTGCCATAATATTTTAATTAAAAATGGAATGTTTTGACACATTTTAGTAACACTATACCTTATATAAAACTTTGTTAAAATTCAATCTACCATTCTCAAATTATACATATAAACAGACAGGCAAGCTAGTAAGTGTATCTTTGAAACTTTAGTTGCAAACATGCCTAATAATTGATTGATAAACCTGACGGGAAAATTGTGTCTGTAAATCAAAAGCGAGACGTACAAAATGATCTAAGAAATCTGGGAATAGACACAGAGCTGTACTTGAGGAATACAACACTTGAAAAGAATTGTAGCATCACTCACCAGTTATCTGTGAAGCATGTGCGCAGTTGTCTCTCCACTGCAGAACAACTTCAGCCTGCATATTTTCCTGAAGAGTTGGTGAAATTATCTGAATTAAACTTAGTACTAAAGCTCTATCATCACCTCCTGTTGCTAGCAAATATTTGTCTCCTTGTAGCTGTAGCCAATCAAAACTATTGATTCCTGATTGATGTATTTTAACAAATGAGAATGGTCTATGGCTGTCAGCAACTACTTGCCCATTATTGCCATTGTCTGCCGATACTGCAGAGCTGCTGTTGGAATGTTCTGAGCCTACTAATTCTTCAACACATGTAGTCAAGTCCCACAGGGCCACTTTCCCATCAGTAGCCATTGTAAGAGCTATATGTCTGAAGTTTTCTGTCTGTATAAGAGAGACTTTCAAGATACAACGGTCATGAAAGGAATATTTACCTAAAAGTCTAAGTTCGCTGCAAAGCGTATAAAAACCAAATATCCTGTGAAAAAAGAAATGAGACAGTTGTACCATAAAATAAGCTGCTGCTGTTGCTGATTTGGTGTATACATTTAGAAAATTACACTTGTTGGCAATTATCACTATCAACTTCAAGCAAAAGGTAAACAGCAAAATCTCCATCTTACATTTCCATAATTTTAACTTCCATGTTAAAAGCAGTACCTGGGTCTCAGAAAGACACAATTCAATAAATTTCTAAAGATTTCAGTTATCACACACCAAAGTGAACTTATTTTCATGAAAACGATATGAAAGTAAAATGAATATCAGTAGTACACACATTGCTTACCTTAAATTAATATATATTTAAAATACCTTAAAATATTTGTAATTACACTGTAGTAACACAAAAATATTATATAAATATACAGTATGTAATAACGTTGAAAAATTGCCAGAAATACAGAGAGACGTGGAGAGCACAAAAGCTGTAAACAGACTGAATCAGCGATGATAAAATGGCGCTGGACGCACTTCTCTGACTCGGCTGTTGAGCGTATGGGGCCAAAAAAGCAGGGCTCTACTGTATATGTATGCAATTGAAAAGGGCCATATTAACGGATCGCCGAAAAGCGGTGCCCTACTGTACTCTACTTTTAAGAACAAATAATTTTGAAAAAAAAACTGTTATACATGAGTAAATATGGAATGGAAATATGGACCTTTTTCAAGATAATACTCTATTATACAATTTTTCATGTTAAGTTGTGAATATTGATGATTTTGTTTGTTTTTGTTTAAGTGACAAACTGGAGCATATTACACAAGGTCATTCATGATTTATACAGGCCACATAATATTTTCAAGCAGATTATGATCAATTGGAGAAGTAGCTCAGATTAGAAAAACAATAAATTCATACAGATTTTGATGAGAAAACATCTTGGAAAGTGGCCATTTAGAAAAAGAAAAAACACACACACAAAAGAAGGATGACTATATTAAAAGGGACCTTAGGGAAAAAGGTTGTGAGATATAGGTCTGGATGATATGCTAACCTACACATATCCCATGCACACAGCTTACACATCTGGTGGCAATGGGGTGGTTAAGGATGGTTGGCATGAGGCAGCCACATGACTTTCAGGCACTGAGGGCCTTAAGAAAATAGATTCAGCAGTAAGTCAGAGACAGTAAATGTAATGGTATGTCTCATAATGTTTAATCAGTTTTGTGTTTACTTGTAGGAATAATTATATAATGTATAACTTGAATACTGTATGTAACATTCTATTGAAGCTTTATAAAAAAAGTCATAAATTTAATGTTTCATAATGGTGGTTTAATTTGTGCTTATTTATGACAGGCATACTCTATCAATATTCCAAGAAAAGGATACCTGATACTTTTTTATGTGGGGGCAGGCACTGTATACCATATGTAGCATATAGCTTAAACATCTGGCTGCAATTGGTAAGTTAACAACAGACAGCACAAAGCAACTACGCAACTTCAGGCACTGAGGTTCAAAATTTATTTTTCTTTTATTTCTGAAAATATGAACATTAATCTAGAACAGGGGTCGTCAACCTTTTATACCTACCGCCCACTTTTGTATCTTTGTTGATGGTAAAATTTCCTTACCGCCCACCGGTGCCGCACATACTGCCCACCACCATGAAAGAAGTACAGCTCGAAGACTGAGTGATAAGCCCGCCGTCGTTATGTGCACTAAACTCGTGCCTTTGGCTACAGAGCTCATTTGTTGCTCCCTCATCCACGAGTATACTTCGAGAAGTGTCCGGTGAATTATTATCTATATTCAAAGTTTAGAGATGGAATTCCAAAGTAAATTGCAAAAGCATATTTTAAAAAGTCAAACTCGCGAAGTTGTTAGCAATGTATTCGATATATGGAAGAAGAACAAAATTTGTAACAATGGACAAAAATCCACATCGCCCACCATGAAAGCTTGAATCGCCCACTAGTGGGCGGTAGGGACCAGGTTGACGACCCCTGATCTAGAAGCTTCACTCTAAGGTTGTTTGATTAAAAAAATTAAATCCGTGGCGTAACAGCTACAGAGAGCCAAAGCCGGCTAGCCTGACTGCTGGCCTCACATTCACATGCCTAAGCAGAGGTGAATGATCATCCAACCAGATATAGGGTGACGTGTGGTCAGCATGACGAACCCCCAGCCATTGCTAGCTTTCCTGACTGGATTATGCTACTCATTGTAGCTCCCCAATTTCCTCAAGATGCTGGGTTGGCACCGGTCCCATACACTGGTCGAAAGCTCATGAGAAAATTTCTTCTCCCCGGCGACTAAGGTTGTCTGATATTTTTGTAAATTTCCACAGATATATCAGTAAAAGGTTAGTATTCCCTACCTGAGAAAACCATCTGAACATCCAGCAGCTAGGAGAACAGCTGTTCCTCTCTGATCTGTATCTCGAAGTTGTAGGGCTACAGCACACAGATCCATGTATCGAGTTTCAGGGTCCACAGTTCGTTCTACTGACAGCCATGGTTTCTTGTTTCTCTTACTAGGGTCCCTCAGCATGTGGGATGTTAACTCTTGGCATTTGACTATGGGTATAAATTCTGTAATTAAATACATCATGTATATTATTTAAATGACAAGTAAGACAAAAACATACTTGATAGAAAAAATGCATTTAAAAACTATGACAGATTTATTTTTTACTTTGTTGTTTAATAATGCTGTCTCAACTGCACAGATTATATAGCACTGAATAAGATGGAAAGATGATCATGAATTTGTAAGTAGGTAAAGGATATGGAAGAAGGCGTCACATCCCATTTCAGAGTACCTATTCATCATTCACATGAAGAGACACAGTAAAGCTACAAAAACCTTACAGTACAACCAGCAGCTTGGCCAAGATTCAAGCAAAATACCTTGCAAATACATGTGTTATTAGTACACCAATGAGGAAAATACACAGTTTCTGGACTGATTTAATTACTGATGAAAGGCTGGGTCCATCTGTTGAGTTTGTTCCTAAGGGCACAACTGTAAATGGAAAATATTAATTGAAAGTTTTGAAGCGTTTAATGGCAAGAATTCAAAGGGTTCACCCACAGTATCGAGAATAAGGCAGTTGTTCACTCTTGCATGACAATGCCCTGGCTCACAAAGCCGTTGTTGTTCGCAAGTTTTTGGCATCCAAAGGTGTCGTGGTTCTTAATCACCCCCCCTTACTTTCCTGATTTGTCACCTCGAGACTATTTTTTGTTCCCTAAACTAAAATTTAAAAAGAAAGGCATGAATTTTGATGACGTTGAAGACATTCAAAAATCTGCAACTGACTTCCTGGAGGCTATTCCTAAGTATGACTTTCAGCAATGCTTTGAAAAGTTTTATGATCATTGTAATAAGTGTATTGCTGCAGATGGAAAGTATTTAGAATAATATACAATAAAAATGTAATAACTTGAAGATAAGTGTTTTTTTTAAACCAGTCTGAAAATTTTTCAGACACTGTGTATAAGGCAATGTCCTACGTAAGCGATAACAAGCAAGCTATGCGAGCTGCATAAGCAGCATGGGGTGTCATATGAAGCGGGGAATCACTTGTTGTGTCCTACGTGAGAGATCGCAATAGAAGCACACGGCCTTCCTGCGCATGCACCTTCCGTGTACTGCACGGTCAGAGCTTTCTTGCGCATGTGCCTTACTGGCCAGCACAGCGACTCGCGCGAAAATATCAAAATATTTGATATCGGACTTTGGCCGCTGACCACTTCGCTGTAACCTAGGACAGCGCCATACAAACAGCCAGTTTGATATTTCCGCTTCACCCACGCAACTCGCACCGCTTGCATTTAGTCGCTCACGTAGGACACTGGGTAAGAGAAGGACTAAAATAAAAGAGTGAGAGGAGAAATAAGATTAAGAAGAAGATATGATAACATTTAAAATTCAGTTACTTTTGACTTTCGGTATTATTCATGAAGTAGCTGGTTGGTGGATAAACAGGAAATGCTGGTTTACTGCACACTTGCAGTCACCATCGTCCAGCTCACTGTAAGCGTAAAATCTACTTCACCAACTTTTACTTTCCTGTCATTCCTCGCCTTCCCTTCATTATAACTTCCCACCCACCTCATAAATTTTCATGAAACCTGTTAAGAAATCATGCCAGTAGATGTCTTCCCATCTTTCTTCACTTTACAGCAATGTATCATCAATAATACCATGTGGCTGTTTAGGGAATGTTCAAGAAGGGAGGGTACCTGCAATGATTAATTCTTAAATTTTATGTGGTGGTATAGGTTTGAAAATATGCAACTTTTTTAAATGAAATTTATTTGTTCAATATAAAACATCAACATGGCCACCATGCAAAATCTATATTTAGTATTCACTTTGATGGTAGTAACTAATGAATCATTGCAGCTGGACACATAATTTTGTAAGGACATAGATCACAAACATATCCACTTTGCTCATTTACTAGAAGGAAAAGCAGCATGTTCTCATGTTATGTTAACAGTTCCAAATATAGGAGCAATGTGAAACTCTGAGGTTATATCTGAATAGAAATTACAGACCAAAATGGGGCCTTAAATTATATAATTATTAATTCAGAATTCCTTCAGAATTTGAAGGAAAGTAGGTATCATAAGTTCCTTCCAGAATTTGTTGTTCTTAGTGATAAAATTTAAACCCTAATTTCACTTTTAACTAACCTTGTGTTGCATGTATAACAAGCTTCCACACTTTCAGTTGCGCTCTTCCACCGCCAGAGAACACCAGGACACTGTCATGTAACTGACAAACAGCTAATGTTCGCACACTTGAAATATGACTCTGAAGCACAGTCAAGGTCTGTGGAACATTGGAATGACTGATGACTGCCAATCGGATTGTTGTATCTTCACTTGCTGATAAAAGCAAACTATGATTGATGTTGGCTTTATCCTTCAGCAATACTTGTCTAACACAGGTAATATGCTTTGAATGGAATCCATTCTGAAACAAATTAGTACAAAACAAACACGTAGTATGAGGAGGTAAACAAGGTGAGATCTTTACACACACTCAACGATGAACAAACTTTCTCACAGAACCCAGAAGTCAATTTAAAGGAAAAATTAGTTGCTCATCTGTTTTTTGATACAGTTAGTCTCCGCATACCCACTAGGTCTATCAGTGACAACACTACCTTTACCGTACATTGTAACTTCAAGGCCATACATAATTCACAGTGCCTTTTATTTGCTGATGACTTAAAGATATTTCGTAGTATTAGCGATGTTGATGACTGCAAACTGTTATGGCACGACATCCATTCAGTGCAAAATTGGTGTCTTGTGAATGGGATACAACTTAACTTAAGTAAAACGACTGTTATATCGTTCACCCGAAAGACAAACAGTATTTACTTTAATCACAAATTGTATAACAACCTGGTGGCACACTCCCATTATGTTAGAGATCTTGGTGTTCTATTGGACTGTAAGCTTTATTTTCACCAGCATATCAACTATATATTCTCACAACGCTTACAAATGCTTGGTTTGATTCGGTACATTACTTCTTCCTTCTCCACTATTGATAGCTTTTTGGTTTTGTACCTTAGTCCATTCTAAAATTGAGTACGCATCCGTTGTTTGGAACTCTATTACTAATACTGACTCCTTTAAACTGGAAAGGATTCAAAGGAAATTTGTAGCTCTATGTTACACTAGATTTTTTAATGGCATTTGTGTCTATAATTATGATGATATATTAGTCAGATTAAATTTTTTATCGTTGCATTTAAGGAGGAGGCTTTTGAATGCGCCTTTCCTCCTTAATGTTTAAAGGCAAAATTAGTTGCTCATCTGTTTTTGATACAGTTGGTCTCTGCATAGCCACTAGGTCTATCAGAGACTGCTCTACCTTTTCGGTACAACATAATTTCATGGCAATCCCTCCACCAGATGTGTTTCTGCTGCCAATGCAGTCTGTAGGAGCGTCGGCATCTTTAACAAAGATCGTGTTTTGCTTACTGATGTCAGTCAGCTTTTTAAACAATAATCATTGTTTTTTTATTGTTTACTTAGTATAACATTTTATTTTGTATGTTGTTTGTCCAAAAAATTACTGTTTTTTTAAAAAGATGGCATAAGTATAGTTCCTGAATGAATAACAACAAAGCACTTGCTTATTCATCATTTTACCATGAACCTCATTTACATTTGATAATGTCATTCCCATATACATGAATCTTGAAACAAAAATAATTTGTTACAAATATCAGAAATTTGTTGCAGATTTGGTTGTATATTAACATATTTTTAGCTTATTTATATTTACTTATAGACCAGTTTCTAAGCTAGGATGTAAAATCATTGCATTACGAAAGTTTTACTGCAAATGTATTACAATTATTTATATGCAGTTTATTTAAGAATGCAGCAGCAAACCATGAAAAACTTCAGTCAGGATTATCAGCTAAGATTCAAATTGGTTGCCTCCAAATAAACTTTTGACATTACTGATAAGCAAGAACATATGAATTTATGAATTATTAATTCTTAGCACAATAACAAGAAAATAATATAATCCCTCACCTGTATGACTGGTTTTACAAACTCATCCATCATACATGTGTACATGTGGACCATCTTATCCTTCAGATAAATTAATCTGAATGTGTGTCCTTCAAATATCCAGTCCCAGGAACGATGTCCACCTCCACATGGTACGGTCAATAACGTGCGTCGTTCTGTATGACTCCACACTACAAAGTTAACCTGTATTAACAGATTAGAACAACATACACTTAATATTGAACAACAAAATCTCTGTATGGTAAAATTCATGGAATCCAAATCACTGCATTAATAATAAAGCTTTATATCACTGGTACTGTGTGTGTTTTCTATAGTAAAATACTGATATTATGCAATTACTCTGCTTCTGAAGGTCTTTGTTTCATTAGGAATGCCTTAACTTCCCTACTCAATTTCTTATCTCCTAATTTAGAACCTGATTTGTGGGTAAAGTGAAAGAACTAACCCACAATTCACACTCATCAACACTTTCTTCTTTGGCCACTTAAAATGTTTACCCAGTGTCTTTACACTAATCAGAACCGCCAACAGTGTGAACAACATACATTTTATCAATCAACTTTTTTTAACTCTAACATAAAATCTGTAAATAAATTGCAGAAAAATACATTCTCATTCCCAAGATTAGGCTGTGCATTTAGTTAAGTAATTAAAATAAATGTAATTTGCTAAAACATATATTTCTTTATGACAATTTATCATTTTGAAAGAAACATAGAACAAGACTAACAAGGACTCATCTGTTGAAAATGTGCCCATACTAAACACTATATACCTACTAATGATTAAAATCACCTGTAATAAAACCACCGAAATGGTGTGGTATTGAAGAGCTGGTCCCTTTCAAAGCCATATTCTGTGAACATTTTGCCATTGCTGACAAGATAAATCCCTGATGTACCTAGTTAAATTAAGGTCTACCTGTCCAATTCTCTGTCACTTCATTTGTTTTTATTGTTACAGTACTTTACTTAATGGTGCTGTGTCAATTACAGGTTAAACAACATTGAAGGAGGACTGGTGGTAAGATAATATAAGTAAATGATGAAGAATGTTCAGGGAAGTGGTTTTGGCAAGTGTAAGGTACTGTTCTGGCTTAGTATGGATTACCTAAAGAAAATGAGACAAGTTGTGATCAAGATAAATGAAGTCAGACTCCTGCCTGATATATGAAGCAGAATACTCTGAGATTCAGTCTGTTACATTACTGACTAGCTTCAAACAACTGTCTAACATTACTTAAGTGAAAATCCATATCTTAATAACACTTCATTTTGTACCAACACTTCCATGCTCAGAATCGAATCTGTAAATCTGTTTACATATTTTCACAAGGAATACTTCAAAATACGTACTGCTCTGAAACCAAGTACCAAGAGTCCAAAAGCTGACAAACTAGTAGCTGCAGGCCAATCAATCTGCAGTTTATCTGCATTCAGACATTCCAACCTACTCTCATTCTCCAACATCATATAACATCGCAGAGCTCCATCACGTCCAGTTGAATACAAGTAGTTTCCATACCAAGTCAGCGAGCTCACTCCTAGGTGACCGTGAATTTTATAGAAACTTTGAGATGGAAACTGTAAAACCCAAATCAATATTTTATAAAATATGCAAACAAGTGAGCTAGTTCAAAGAAACTTTATACATATTTTCCTTTTACAAAGTGCATACAATGAATGTATGTTGGCAAGATCATTTTTGTTCTTTAACAATCTTCCATCTCCCACATTCTGATTAAATATAAATTAGTACCAGTACTGGAGAGAGTCTATATTAAAATTTGTCAGAATTTAACTGTACAGTTACAAAATTGTTGATAAGAAAGAGATATTACTCACTGTTTCTAATGCCGGTATTTATTGTTCAAGTGACAAAGTTGGTACAGTTCATAAGATTTGAGGTTTTCACAGTGGTGAGTATGAAGATTTCTGTCTTCTGGGTTGTTGCGCTGTGTAGTCTGGTCGATGTTAACCAACATTTCAGAGGTCATACTGCCTCCGTCATCAGGGCGATGAATGTGACAATAGGGCGCGAGTAGTAGCAAATCCTCCAAGCGAGGGGATGAGTCTCAACAGATCGCAGCGTGACAACTGCTCCCATTGGCTCAGGGCAGGCTACACCATTCACATTCCGGCACCTATAAACCTAGCCCCACACACCCTATTGTATGGCCCTGATGATGGAGGCAGTATGACCTCTGAAACGTTGGTTAACATCAACCAGACTACACAGTGCAACAACCCAGAAGACAGAAATCTTGGTACAGTTTACCTAGTATAATACATTTTCGAAAATTTCTACCGTCAACATCAATGCACTTTGCAACTTGTGTGAGGACATGGCGTGTTGTTTGTCTCAGTGTATCTTGACGTTCGTTTATGCGGGCGATAACAGCCAATAGGGAAGGACAATATTGGGTGCCAAATCCAAACTACTATACAGTGAAACAGCTCTATCTGAGAAACCATTCAGAATAGGACACATGTACATATACACTTTTTTGCTTAGAATGACCGATACTATGACCTCCCAGAATATTGACCTTTCCTCCTGGGACACCTGTATTTTTGTTTAGTGTAACACATGCCTTGCATAAAGCACACCACTACAGAAGTTTGATGAAAACCAAAAGGAAGATATTGAAAAGACACCAACAGGGAGATAGTTCCTGCCACAAATATCATGATATATATCAACTAAGAAATCACAGAGACTGTCTGAGATTCAAACCAGGTACATCCAAAATATGAACCAGCTAACCACTACACAGAAAGTATTGGCCCTTGTGGAATAAGACACAAGAAACTATCAAGTTTTTCTGTAAGAGGGTAAAAAAAATGTCACACTCCTATTTTAAACATTCTTGTACATTAAATCATCTTGTTTGAGAAGTAATGAGTAAGAAGTTGAAAAACAAACTTGTATACCTGCACACTGCAGCTCTGGTCATCACTGACCTCAAAGAGATGAATACTACCATTTCTGTCACCACATACAAGAAACTTCTCCCTCAACGCAGCTGCTGAAATCCACTGTTCCTTGCTTCTTGGCAATTCAAACTCAGCAACCTTTTTCATCTGATGTGAAAAGCCTACAACAAAAATTAATTGAGCACAATAAAGTGAATGGGAATATGCATCACTTCAGAGTAAGTGATTTTTATTAACTATTATTTTATTATCACTTTACAAAAATCGCTTTTATTGAATGAATGGCAACTGATACTTCTTTAAGGGATTAAAGTCATGACCTTCACAGCTCAGCTCTTTACCCTTGATGTGTTATATTAGGTATTTTATAATGGTATCTCTCAACTGAAGGACCACAAGTTGTGCATAAGGGGTACATCAGTAAAGTAAAGTCTAATCGTTTATTTTTTAATGGTTTGAAGTTCATTTCATTGCATTTTCTACTTCCACAACTGAGCATAAAACATGATGAGAAAAACTATACCATCTACCTATATTTTAGTTAGTCTATATTTTATTTAATCAAAATGTGTAAGAAATTTTGTGGTTTGATCTGTGGTACCAAAAGGGTTGAAAACATTGTTTTACAAGCTGCAGATAATAAAATGTGACGGTTATATTTGACACACAAAGCATATGGCAGGCATGGACTGATGATGATTTAACAGAACTGAAACACTTCTACAGTATAGCAGAGCATTAAAAAAACTGTAAAGTTCTGATGGACCAATTATTACATAATAAATATTAATTATTAAATTAGACCAAAACTGACTTCTTTCCACAGCCTTTCCATTGAATCATTAAACAACTCATCATTCAATACCCCACAATCCTAGCTACTTATATTATTCAATAAACCATAACTAGCAATATTTACAGGCAATATTTATGGAATTAAAATTTACATTCATTTTGGACACAGCTGACAGAATTATTTGTATAATATATATAATGGAAGCTTAATGAACAGCTTTTAACCCTTTCCAGACTGAGTTACATTTACAAACAATTCTGTTGTTTGTACGTATCGACAGTAATTTATACATAGTTTTCGATGGCAAAATAATTCAAATATATATAAAGAGAAATGTACTTTTATAGACAATTTAAAAAATTAAATTTCCAAACCAAGTGGTCAGTCTATTCAAGTGTGTTATAGCATAGAAATAATTAATTTCCTGACAGTGAATATGTTACAGTACTAACCTAACAGCATGGACAAACTAAGGAACATCATGCAAAATCTTAAATCAGGCATGTTCTAATGTGAATCTGGAGTGCTAACCACTACATAGTGATGGTCAGTTAGCTTTAAATTGCTTACCTAACTTCCACATTTCCAGTAATCCATGAGGACCACAACTTAAAAGGTTGTCTGATGACAACCAACGAAGAGAGAAAATTCTTCCTGTTACTGCCTTTTCTTCATCACTGAGAATCAGATATTTCCCTTGTACAGAAGAACAATCTTCTGATATGAAAAGTAAAGAAACAAAATATCTGTATAAAGTGAAGCTTTCGCGGTGACTGAAGCTGATGAAAGACTCTCGGGTTACAAGTCGCATCAGGTGGCTGAATGCTGAATAAACCATATCTTCTGCCAACATTTTGAGAACAATCTCTGCTCTCATCCTCAGGGCTGCTGCACCTGACATGGCTTATAACCTGAGAGTCTTTCATCAAACAAAATGTCTTTTTTTAAACTGTCCATAACAACTGTACTGGTATGTCATACCAGTCGAATATTTCTAAACCTCGTCACTATTATCACGATGATGTCCATTTTGAAATTATCCACAACTGTTATACCAACAAATACATCTAAACATAAGGTTATTATTATCAAAGAATAGATTACCTTTAAAACTATATTCTCCTTATTTCCAAATGGACTAAAATGTTTCTTTTACTTTCAATTCTAAAAGAAGTCCAGAATTTAAATGAAGTACTTTCTATTTTTCCTTTTAGTCTGGTTTATAAAATTCAAACAGCCTCATATTATTATTATTTGGGAACAATCAATTACCACCTACATTTGCTTTTCCTTAATCCACTATCATCCATTTAAATTATTTCCATTCTTGCTCTACATAATTTGAAATTACTATATCATCAAATTAATTACATTTTTAATATATAATAATTTCAGACAATCCTCGTGTAGCAGTGTACTATGAATGCAGTTACAGCTTTCTGATAAAGTTGCTTTTTATTCATGATACTTTACATTTCATCTTACTAATGAAAGAAATATTATTTGGTAACATATCACAACTCTTTCACTTTATAAATGGTGTCATATAACAACCCTATCCTGGAAAATAATATGGCAGCCAGGTTCACCTCTGTCTGAGGAAGAATCAAGCTTTCTCTCTTCAATAACACATGCAACTGGAGAAAAAAAGGAACTGTGAACACTGATGTGTAATGAGGTCCTTAAAAGATTAAATAACCTGCCTACACATCAAACTGCAGAAGTACAAAATGCAGGATAAAGGTTAGCTCATAATACTCGAACTTACCTTTAAAAACAAGTATATATCCATCCATACTACCCAGGGCCACATATTGTCTGCAAGGGGACATTTCCAAAAGACAGTAGCTTGCCAACTTTTCATCTTGGTGAATGACCTTCCAGTTTCCTTGTCCACTGTCCAACAATGTACAGTATAACAGACATCCATTGCCTGTTATAGCAACAATATTATTCTTACTAGTCAGTCCAATTCTTCGAGGAAAGTTTTGATTATGTCCTTTCACACTAGTGAATTCTTGACCATATAAATGTTCATGGAAAGCCAGCAAATTTGGAACTGCTCTGTCTGTATGAAGTGGCCACAAGCTGATTCCTCCATCTGCTCCACCAGTGACCTGAGACAACACCTATATGCTTTAGAAAATATTATTATTAATTTTATAAAACTGTCTTTATCTTATATGATATTTGAAGTTCTCATAGTGATGAAACTGTTGACAGTTGTCTTCTGGGTTGTAACACTGTGTAGGTAGATACCAATGTTGAAGATTAAAGAAATATATTCCTCCAAAATGGTGGTATCTACTTGTAACTCCACATGGTGTTTGAATAAAAATTGTGACCTATCAACAGCACATACATGAGAGCAAACTCATTGTATATGGAATAACTTTTCATCATTTTTATTTATGTGACTATCCTGAAAAGCAGCAGTCAGAAATATTACACTAATATTTATCGCTAAATTGAGTGTGGGACAGCTGTTGACTGTATGCCATTTTCTTATTTATGATATACACCAATACCAACTGAGTATGCTGATAATCACTATTTACATATAATACACGTTCCATTTGTTTTCAAAGAAGAATTTAGAATTATTGAAATATTCACTGCCTAGTATTTAAATTGCCATTCAGAGGGTAGCACTGTTACATTCATCCATTAGATGAAGGGGCCATCTTAATTTTCCAAGGCATATCAATAACTTACATGACTACCAAAACAAATATTAGTTTCATTCCTATCTAACACATTAACATTATCAACATGCACAAATACCTAATAAAAACAACTAAATTTCAGCCTTTCCTTATGGGGTCATCTAAAAAAAATTAAAATGTAATGGGGATAAAGCAACTGTTTAGTCCATTCAGAATTATAATGCATCAAAGATAAACTATGCTGGACATCTTGTGCATCTCTAACAGATAAATCAGGATTGAATAGAAACTGTGCAGAGGCAGTGGGCTTGTCACTCACTACTCATAAATGCACACTTCAAAAGACAAAGAAACCTCCCACATGGGAGGAGGCCAAGGCTCGGCTTTGGGCTGCTGCGACACAGTCAGTCAATGAGGAAGTGTATGTGACAAGAAAAATGTCCACCATCATACAATGTCTACAGGTGAGATGCTCTGCAACACTGAAGGAACATTAGCACGATCACTGCAGAAATCTTTGAGAAGACTGTCCCAGCAAAGTGGATTATCTCAACTGCTTTGGTGTTTGGCCACCATGATCTCCAGATCTTACCCTACCAAACTTCTTTCTGTGGGGATTATCGAAAGAAAAGAGTTTTATTCGAATAACCCACAAAGCTTGAAATAAATGAAACCTAATATTGAACACTGAGTCAGAAACATTCCAGAAAGCCACAAGAAACATAGTTCACTGTGTAGATGGTGTCTTAAAGAAGTTGGCAGACATTTTCTGCATCTGCTATAAATATGCTGTGTAAGTTCTTCCTAACAAATGAAAACTTAAAAACAAACAAACAAATAATTTGTCTTGTTATATGTCAACAAAGCTTACAAATAATATGACAGTTAGGGTTGCATTTGAAATGGAACACTCTGTATATCTCCAATCACTTAGGGTTAAATCTTACTATTAAATTTTTCTCCTTACTACAGTCCACACTCCAGACACTTGCACCCTGATGAGTCTTCCAGTATTTCTGCAATGAACCATCAACACTCCACACACACAAACATGAATCCTGCAACACAATAAACTGTGCTTCAGTTCTTCACAAAGGCTTGTAAGTAACAAATGACAAAAGCAATGTGCACTGTAACAGCCACCATTCTGATCCGGGGCAGCCACCCTGTGCCTCTTCCAGGCCCTGTGAATGCCCACTATGGTCTATCAGGCCTTTCAATTACTGTCATCTATCCTTCCCTCTTGTTCTAACCAGCCACCCAGGATAGGAATTCACCAGAAGATTCCTGCCTGCTAGGTTTATTTCAAGCACTCCCTCTCCCAATAAGATAAGATCAGATCTGGAAAGGACCCCAGTACCCACTGGGCAGGAGACTGGGTGTCTGGATGCAGAGGCTAGAAGAAAATCCTCTGCCCCTGTCAAGAAGGATCTAGTCCACAGTCAGTAACTATATGACTGAGCTATCTTGGCTCCTCTGTATACGTAAACTATATGCTTTTTCACTGTTCCATTTACAGCAGTGAAGCATTAAAAACTTACCTCACCAACACTGATGATTACATCATCTACCATGATGTTCCTCCAAACACGAGCAGTATGACCATACATACTGCGCAACAAAGTAATTTTTGCCTCTTTCCATTGGGTCACACGATTACTACCATCAGACAGTTGTAAATCTACAGACCATAACCTCACACTGCGATCATCAGATGTTGAACAAATATACTGACTGGCAGCATCATATGACACTGAGAATATCACTCCCTATTGGAAACAAGATAAAGGCAATATTAATCCATCTGAACAAACTGTTATAGCTATAGGATTTACAGGAGGGTGGGGTAGTTTAATATTATTTAGTAAAATAATACTAACCCCATTTAATGGTACCTGCACCTTGTTGTGGTGGTGGGGCTTGAGTACCTCAGTGATCATAAGAGCTATGCTGGCAGTAGCATAGCTACTGGTAGGGCCTCCCTAGCCAGATTGGTCGAGGGGGAGAGGTCAGACCAAGACAGGTACCCTGTTCCTCCAGGTTGGGGGTTGGTCGCAAGGCTAACAACCTTGCACCTTAAAAAGGAAGATGTTTCGAAACCTCAATCAAAGTCTCAGACAGACGGACGTAACAAAGGACTGTGAGTGACAAGAAGTGCATACATGCGTATGTGGGTGACTTGGCTGAACTTCTGATCTTGTGAGTGTAGTTACTGTAGGCCAAGACACAGTTCATGATCATAAACAGCATGGCAGTGAAAGCATCGGTTCTGAACAAAGGGCTCTCTATCAGAAGATATAAATCACAAGCTGACATCCAGAAGGTACACTCTGTAACTTACAATAGCTACATCTATAGCGTAAGAAAAGTTTCAATCAGACCATTGTCTATAAAAAAACCATTTCCATGCTCTGACTTAGCCACTTGGCCAAGTGCATAGGGATGAAACAAAACAGCCATTTTAGGCCCTATGTCAGACTCAATTTTGACTTTTTGAAAGACGTATTCAAACCAACCACTGAAATTAGTCAACAATTTTAAAATCCAGAATCAATGATTGGAATTAAACCTTATGCTCAAATAGACCACGACTGGGGTCTTTTGTTATAACTCAGTAGCACATTCGGAAAATGTCAGATTGAAACCAAAAATTTTACAATTCAAACAAAATAAACTAAACATAGTCAGAAATCACATATTCAAATAAGCTGGCATGAGTCACTTAAACATCAATGAAAAGCATAAGGTGATGTATCAAGTATACCAGATACAAACATCTCATTTAAATTTCAGATCAATCTTCGGACTAACCATTCTGAATAAACTCTTCTTCTCATTTTATTATTCTGTGACAAACTTGGCCATGGTAAATGGTTCATAATCTATACTCATTCTTTGCATGGGGAAGTCTGTAAGGTATAATGTTTGGCAGTGTGCAATGTGGAAAAGGTGATTCGTTGTCTTCAGATATTTTCACTGACAAATAGTTATTTGTAACAATGGGTAGCAGTGTATAACACTTACCACTCACCCCATCTAGTGTTGAGGGCAAGAATGAGTAGCCTGTCCCTGTAACCAACTTAAAAGCGCTTAATGCAGGGAGAGGAAAATAAATCTGAGACTGTAACAGTTTTAGTAAAGAAATATAAAACAAGTTCAAACAACTGGAGTGAATACAAGTATGTATGAAATTTGAAACAGGTAATGATACGCAAGCAGGAGAAATATAGCTTCTAGTTATATGTTTTATATGACATAAATAAGTTGATCAGATGCTGTGCTGTTTACAAATTCCATATGGAGTATATATTCACTATCCTGTGATAGCAACTCCGTGTTTTCTTTTTTTTGTCTTATTGGGAAGTTAAATAATAAATCAAAGGAGATAAGACAGAAGTGTAAATATTCTTGAAAGAATTAAAAATTTTCCATTCTTATTAAGCGACACAATGCTGTTCAGTTCTCAATACATAACCATCACTTTATTTAAGTGTCTAGGTAGAGTTTACTTACTTTGAGATAATTCTCTGTCAAAATTGTTGTGTGAGAAACTGACCCTAGGCCTCAGATGTAAGGGCTTCATGAAATTTAGGCTTGTGGATTGAATACATAAGATAAGTGAAACAAATATTGGTACTGCAAACTTTTAGCAGTCCTTCGAGTAAAGTAATTAGTGACATACATCATGGCCTTTCAGAGTGTGAAGAACTGGGCTAGCCACTGTTTCTGTCTCCAGGCTTGTAGGAGCCCACACCAAAATTTGTTGAAATACTGTACCAGCAAACACCAGAAGCTCATTCCATGATGACCCATTGAGTAAGGCACAATATCTTATGTCTATTAAGGAAACATAAAATTCAGAGTTTTCACAGTGGTGAAACTTAGGGTTGAAATCTTCTAGGTTATGATGCAGTGTGGTCTGGTAGATGATTACCTATGCTATAGACGAACCTACTCTGAAGATGGAGACGAGAGATTCCTCCAAAATACTGATAACCACCTATAAGACTGAATGGTATCATAACCCAGAACACCACCATCCAAAATAAAATTTAAGTTTATAGATTAATTTTTACATCAAGTTAAATACAAAGTCAAGTGCATGTATAAAGTAGCTTTACAACTTTAAACATGTAAACATTTAGTGTGACAGGTATAATAAATTACATACATTATAACAACACAACACACCAAGGTTTAGTAGCTTCAGTGGCATTTAAATGTTGCCACTGGTTGTAAAGCTCTTTTGTACTCGTTCTGTACATTGTCAATATTCTGCTGGTACCAACCATCAGTAATAATGGACACTGTCTGCATGCATGTGTGTTTTTCCAAGGTGGGCATTAACTGATTATGAGCATGATGCAGAGCAGGCTAATCAGAAATATGATACACTATGAAAGTAATGGACAGGTTTCAATTATTTAAATATCACAATTCATTTGTATCTGTGCATTATTCACTTACTGTGCAAGAAAATATTTTAATTAACCAAATATTATGCAGGAAAATCCAAAATGTCCAAAACTACTTTCAATAAAACTCAGATAACTCTAAAATGCATACAAATAAACACAAAAATCTAATATCTTTACTTTTCTTGTTAACTTTCAGCTTTATCTTTAGAATCCTATTAGGAAGTTGCATATCTTTCCATTTATCTCTTCTGCCTTGAAAATTTATGGATGGTTGGTACAACCTACAAATTCACACAGCATCGCAACTCATCCATACCTTCAACATCATGAGAACCTCAAATGTCATATTAATATTAAATACTAACTGACCAGTTTTCATAAAACAGAATATGAAGGCACTGGATACCTTCCTAGCCTGTTAATTATTAACATTCTGTAATCAGCAACATTTACTGTATGTCCCCACTGGGACTCCATAATTGTAGGTGTCTTGGCATGACAAACACATTACAGTGATTGATGACATTGAGAATCTGCATGACGACACATATCTGAAAGACACACACACTCTGATATGTCAGACTTTTCCTCCACATCAATGCAGCTGACTGTCTGAGAAGACTACAACATCCTTTGAGGAGTTTAGAATAGGGGGTCCCTACAGGAGTGTTGCAACACTGTGGTGTGTCATGACCGTGCAATGTTACTGATGATAGTGAAATTTCTGTCTCCAGTTCAGATGTTGCGAATGAAAACATTAGATAAAAGTAATCCATAAACCTAAGCACCTTTTGTGAGGAAGTGTTTTGTCAAATCAATCAATGGTGCTGAATAAACTTAAACAGCATTTACAAGCTAACCATTCTGAGTGTTGTCATTCGAAAAAGGTTGGGAATCACTGGTTTACAACCTTCACACTAATATTGTGGTTGCATCAGTAGTGCTTTTGTTTTGTATTCAGAAGGTCTCTGGTGCAACCCTCAACCCAGAGACTGGCTATCTTCACTGAGGTTGTTTGTGGTTTTTCCTAGTCCTTCCAGTCAAATGCCAGAATAGCACCTTAAATTAGGACAGTACTACTTCCTTGCATATTATTTATAATTCATAATTCCTTATCACCTTTATATTGCAAACTAATTATATTCAAGAAACAGTTCCATATACAGTTTATTGAGGCAAATAACTTTACTTTTATGTAATCTAATACTTGACAGTCTTTAAAGGATACAAGATGGATTTCACCTCACAAAATATTTCCTTCACTTTCTCTCCTGTTCTGCTGTTCCACAGAGAGACAACATTATGTGCAGTGACAATGGCAATGTTGTCACAGTCAAGCCAATGCAAATACTGAATCCAGTCATCAATGGCCCATGCTGCAAATGATGAAAGCCTGTGAAAATCACATAATTATTAGCAAATGTCCATCCAACCATTACGGTCATAAACTCAATATACAAAATGGTTCCCAGAAAAATCTAAAACCCCGCAAATGCCATGAGTTTAAATCCTAGCAAAATTCTTATTTCATACTGTTTGCATCTTTGAAACATTAAGTCAAGGAGATAGATGGAAAAGATTAAACATTTTTTAATTAAATATTGAATATTTCACATACAGAGTGAGAAATGTTGATTACCTATTCTATCAGTCAATTAAAAAAGTGTTCATGAATTGACATTTCAGACCTGCAGAACTACACAAACATCAGAAATAAAAATATAAAACACATTAGTACTAAAATATTACGGGCTACCAGATGTCTTTTAATGATAACTTCAATTATGATATTTGTGTTCATAAGGGGTCTGTACCTTTCTAATGTAGCAAAGGCTTCATAAAGTATCAGTAAGATAAAAAGTAATTTGTCTCACTATACAGCTATTATTCAGACAATACACTGTTTAAATAACTGAAAATCAGAAACATACTCACTTAAAATTATCTTCTGTTTCAAGTTTAAATGTCTGGACCATCTTTCCTCCAATTATTGCTATATTCTGTTTTTTATCAACAAAAATATTATGGACCCTCCGTCCTTCAAAAATCTCTTCTTTGGTGATAAATTTGCCAGACTGTGTTTCAAAGACATAGACACACCCTCCAATACCTAAAGTGCCATCAAAAACAATCAAGAAAATATCATAAGCAGTCAAAACTAATCTACTTTTTGGTAATAGATCCTGAATATTCAATAGTACTAGGCAGTTCAAGCCGGTTCAGAACCTTACAACTTACTTTTCTTCTAAGACCCATTTTTATGTTAAACTCCCATCTCACTGGTATTCATAATAGCTAACTTCAAGAGGCTTTCGTATCAAAATTATGTAACCATGTCCTATTTATCCAATCTAAACACATGTGTGTACACACACATATTACAAATTTAAATTTATGAAGAACTTTCCTGACTGCATCACAATGATCATACAAAGGACTGACAAACAATTAATGTTGGTCAAAAATCTTTCATGACATAAAGAAGCAAAATCATAAAGAATTTCCACTGAACTTCAAACTCTATACAAAGTCAATTAGCAATGTGTAAGAGCAATCTGAAAGTATGATAGATTTATTTAACGACACTTTTTCAATAACTCTGACTATGCGGCGTCGAATGAGTGGATGATGGTGAAATGGAAGGGATGTGGAAGAAAGTGTGGTAGTTTCCAGTCAATAATTTCAGTATCAACCCATATGAAGATGTTGCCTCATGATACGCACAACAAACCAACTTTTGACTAATACTGGGAAGGATGTTAATGGTGCTTAATGTGAAGTCTGAAAACCAACTGCGTTTTTCAATCTCATTTTAGGTTAGGTTTGACTAGATTGTATACAAAGCTAAATTCACCATAGTAGCAATTACCTGCAAATATCCACTGTCCAATAAATTTCACGGTCGTAACGTCCGTTATTATGAATCGTGGTTTATATATCACCGTACTCATTTTAAGTTTCTACACGCCAAATTATACTGACATACCAACATTCTTTAGCACAAGAGCCTCCACATCTGAACTTAGCGGCATCTATCACTCGCGACATCCATGTAGTTATATGAACGAAGTACACACTACATACGAAAGCTGTCGCTGTCTCTTGGCGGAACTAATAAAGAAGCAGCAGCGTATTTCATTCTGAGCACATACCACACGTCAGTCATCTTCTTATTTTTAAAATTAAATGTTTCGGAATTATGGCGGAGACAGAATGAATGGTTAACGTTGTTACGGACTAACAATCAAAGTTTTTAAAGTAATTTCACTACAGCTACGGATAGGTGGAACTACTAGCATTGAGTTACCAATCTTTATGTTGGAATAATCTATAGTCGGCTTGTGCATGTCATGAACTCTGGTGGAAAAAAGTGGTAGTAGCATAAAACTACCATAATCGACCATAATTGTAATGGTGAATAATTGTTAGCTACATGTCATTGTTACCCAAAACACTTTCAGGGAGTTCAGGGGGACTGAACCTCCTTTGCAGGGAAAATTACATAATCGTCTTCCTTAATGATGGACTACGAATTCAAACTGAAAACAGCGTCAGAACGTGCCAAAGTAGAAGATTTGTTTGATTACGAGGGTTGTAAAGTTGGCCGCGGGACTTACGGTCATGTTTACAAAGCTCGGAGAAAAGATGGGTGCGATATTTTACTTTTCTTCATAAAATTATGTTATTTCAAGTTGTTATTACGGTAATGCTGCTATGTGCATTTAGGCAAAGCGTTTATATAGCTCGATACAAGAACATAACCTAAAGAAAGGTAACAACTTGTAAAATCCTACGTACGTAAAACGTGCCAAAACATATTCATTGGCATATATTTAAAACCTTGATTAGAAAATCTTATTATGTGTGCTCTAGCTGTAGGAACCTGCAACTATGTGCCTGGTCAGTCCAGTATTCAATGCTCTACAAATTCCTTTGCCCTCATTATGCTATGCCCGCCCATTGAGTATGTATGTAAGTATCGTAAAAGAGTATATCCGTTCACCTTCTGGCCCAAGTTTTATTTAGTAGTACACTTCATGTGATATTTGTGCAGAGATAGATTTTGTTAGGGTCCTATGTGTGTAGTTTTCATTCTACCATCATCATTCCATTAACATAAATCTTGGCAATTAAATGTGTCTTTTAACCAGATAGTACTTTATTGAGTTCTGTTTTATCATGCAATATTTTATGGCTTTGGTACGAACATTTATTCACAGTAATAATGGTAACACTAAAGAACTTTTTTTACAAGTTAGAAGTACAATGTACATTTTCAGACATTTTACAGAAACTTGTCATGGGATTGAAGTATTTGGTAAATTGTTGGTATTTTTATTTACTTTATAGGCCAAGCTTAGTAGTGTAACCATTGTTAACAAGAAAGTCACTATTTTATTATTAAATGAAGCTTTATATATGTTACAGGTCTGATCCAAGAGACTATGCCTTAAAACAAATAGAAGGGACAGGCTTATCCATGTCTGCTTGTAGAGAAATTGCTGTGAGTAATTATTTCTAGTGGTTTACAAACAAAATTAATCTGTTGAGTGATCAATACGAAGAGGATTAATATGGAGAGTGATAAATCATACCATTTAACATACTATAGCACTGTCCCGCAACTGGTGTGCTACCACAAGTTTTCAGATGTGCCACAGATTTTTATAAGGAATTGTATATTTGCACATTATAATTAGGAAAATGCAATATTTTATCTTCTGTAATTAGAATTTGTAATACATACACACACATACATATTGGTTCATCATCGACAGTTTTATTCAACATGTGTTTTGTTTCGCTATGCCTACATTCTTGTAAGGTAAGGATTTATATATAGAGACATATTTATGACCATGTATAGTTTGGTACCCCCATTTCGTGAGGTGAAATTCTGTGGTGTGCTGTCATATTTCTTTAACAAATTAGGGTGTGCCACAAGTGAAAAAAGGTTGTGGAACATTACTGTAGCATGATGTTGGAAAGCCATCATATAGTTAAACACAGAGTAGTTCAGAAGTACAGTAACAGCAGAAAAATAAAGACTAAGAAACTGCGTTACTTTTATTTTTAATCTCTACCGCCTTTCCTACAATACTGGGTGTAAAAATATCAATGTATGTTGTAGGACAAGTTCTGTAGTCACCAGTTTTGGTTAATGAATTACACTGAATATAACATAAAAATGCAACATATAAAGAAAGGAACTAATACTAATTTAGTACAGTGTGTTTGACCATGTGCATTTGTGGATTATGTTTTATTTGCCATATGCATTGTATCAAACAAGATGCCTGATGCAAATAATTCTCTTTTCAGTTGCTACGTGAATTAAAACATTCAAATGTGATAAACCTCATAAGAGTCTTCCTTTCTCATAATGACAGGAAAGTCTTTTTGCTGTTTGATTACGCTGAACATGATCTATGGGTATGTAAAATATATTTTCGTCTAATTTAATTACAAACTAGGACTATAAACACTTGTTATCACATAGTGTGGAGAGTATATTGTTTACATTTCTGTAGATTATTTAAATTTAATTTGGATTGTGGTCTTCTGGGTTAGGTAATTATGAACATTTCAGACAAACATACTCCCTTTCTGAAGATAGAGGTGATGTGTTCCTACTAAATGTTGGTAACCACCTCACAGTCAAGAAAAACACAATCTAAATGTTTACTACCATTAAAGCTCTTGTTTAGAATTATAAAGTTTTTGACTTCTGTGACCCTAAAAATCAGTAAATACCATGTCTCAATAACTATTCTTGATCTTGTTTTTCTCTTACTTATAACACATTTGTCAATGGTGGTTAATTAAACTTGGTAAAACAAATATTAAAAACCAGTACTTTTATTGTAAAAAATGCATACATTGTAAATTTTAAAAGCTGCATTAGCTGCTGATACACTATTGACTGTACTGTATGTGTGGAGAGAGATGCTTTGGGATTCCCCATGCAAGCTTACAGTGTTGCCAGTTCTGATAAATGAATTTATTACCAGCTAGCTACACAAACATAATAATCTGTATTTGTTAAATTTAATTGGCACAGAACATGTAGCATAAAAGACCAAAAATTTGCATCATCCTTTGAAAATGTTTTTAGCACCTGTGTTCTTTTTCTTAATATTTTTTTTATTTACTGGTCTAACATATAAAAGCTGTCAAAGGTGTAACAATAACTTTTAGATCGCTATCTAAAAACAGTGGGACTAGCAGAGTTGGCTTATGTGTAATTTCATATTTAACTATTACTTTCTGAACCTCACTTATTTTATTAATCATTGTTTATCTTGTCTTTCCATATTATATGGACCCTTTGTTACCATGTTATGGCACTGCACACCATGTCATTGGTCCTTAGATTATGGATGAAGAAACAGCTTATAGATACAGGGTAGCTGCAGATATATTGGCATTCTTAAGCCATGTCTACACTCGTGCCCTTTTACATTCGTCAAGGGCATGCGTTATAGAGCAAGCAATAGGGCACATAATGTATGCATCGACACATGCCTGAAAAAAGTTGAACAGAAACAGTTTTAGCAGCGCATGCCTCATTGCACGTGTTCCCAGCCTGAGTGGGTTTTGTTTCAACACGCCGTGCGTCTCGCGTCTCCTTCCTCTACAAGATGACATCTTCAGAAGAAGAAACTTTGTTGTTTATCGACATTTACAGGTCGTTTCAACTATTATGGGACCATTCGTGTAAAGGTTCTAAATATAACCTCTTCACCGACTTCCAAATCCTTCAGAATTCCAAAATTCCGTTTCTTTAAATAATCCTTCATCCATATGCGTCTTTGTTTTTCTTGCACCTGTGATAACTAAATATGCTGCACTTACACCAATAAGTAAAGTTGCGTCTGACATGTTCCTCTCTCCTATTAACAAAAATGCCCGACAAATGGCAGCGTAGTGTGGACAGCTAGGGGCATGCTTTTGACGCATTCAACAAAGGTATGCCCTAAACGAGAGTTGAATTGAATGTTGAAGCACAAGTTGAATTGAAAGTTGAAAACGAAAGCGCACGAGTGTAGACATGGCTTATGACCGTCAGCAAAGAATGATCCTCCAGTTAGAAAGGTTAACCTCAAACTCAGAAAAATTCTTATGCCCTGAAAACACCAGGGTTAATCTGCAAAGCTGAGATAGTCAAGAATCTGCCATAGCCTCAATGGATATTACTGTCAGGACTTTTACTTCTGTGACTGAAATGTTTATTCATTAAGTTCGACTTTAAAATTATAGTTTTTGTTTATGTATTTGTTTTTTCATAACAGTTACTACAACAGTCTTTTATGAGTTATATTTCTTTTCTAGCATATAATCAAGTTCCACAGAGCAGCTAAAGCAAACAAGAAACCGGTAATGGTTCCTAAAGGAATGGTGAAATCCCTTCTGTATCAGATCTTAGATGGAATTCACTATCTGCATTCCAATTGGGTGCTACACAGAGACCTGGTAACACGTTTAATATATGTACAGAGTGATTTGATGTAGTGCTTTTGGAAGTTTGGTAAGGTGTACCGAGTGTTGAATTTGCTCATTTCATATTTGTATGTACTGAAGAATAATTTAAGCAGCATTTTAACATTAAAAGTAAAGCCATTCAGCTACACGCCATGTAGATCATTTGGGGTGTAGCTCCTACTCTTTCTTGACCTCAGGTGAGCGGTCAGCATCACGCCCTGACTGTGCTTTACCCCCAGGAAAGGACCCTGGTACCCATTGGATAGGATCGAACCCCAGTCGTCCAAGTCCGTAGCTGACTGAGCTATCCCAGAACAGATCATTCTTAATGTAATGGAATATGCATTTGTAAGATTTGAGGTTTTCACAGCGGTGAGTATGAAGATTTCTGTCTTCTGGGTCGTTGCGCCGTGTAGTCTGGTCGATGCTAACCAACGTTTCAGAGGTCATCGCCCTGATGACGGAGGCAGTATGACCTCTGAAACGTTGGTTAACATCGACCAGACTACACAGCGCAACAACCCAGAAGACGGAAATCTTCATCGCCCTGATGACGGAGGCAGTATGACCTCTGAAGCGTTGGTAAACATCGACCAGACTACACAGCTCAACAACCCAGAAGACGAAAATCTTCATACTCACCACTGTGAAAACCTCAAATCTTACAAGAATTTATAAGGCACTATTCTTTGATCTTTGAAATGTGTATGATTATAATGATATGCAGTGAAGTTTCTTAATTGTTTTATTTCAGAAACCTGCAAATATTCTTGTGATGGGTGAAGGACCAGAAAGAGGCAGGGTAAAGATTGCAGACATGGGTTTTGCTAGACTCTTTAATGCACCATTGAAGCCACTGGCAGACCTGGATCCAGTAGTTGTAACATTCTGGTACAGGGCTCCTGAACTACTGTTGGGTGCTAGGCACTATACTAAAGCTATTGGTAAAGTACATGTTTTTATTTGGCCAAAACACTTAAGATGCATTTGCAGACACCAATAAATTATAGCTTAGTTCACCAAGCACTTAAAAATTTCACATGTAAGTAAATTTCCAAATATTTCAGTAGAAAATAAAAACAATGTATATATAGTACATGTACAGCATATAATGATTTAATATACTCTAGCCACAATTTTTCACTTGTCTTAGAAAATAAGAGAGTCCTCAGTGTGCACTATTGAACAGTTGAAAACAACATTATAAGTACACTGTGTGTATTTCACAGATATAATCATATGTAACAGTTATATCACTGCATAAATGACATAAGGCTAGATGTGCATGTGGGCGACAGAGTGTCTGGTATCTGTTGGCTTCCAGCTGTCAGTTTTATGTGTACAAACATTTCTGATATAATCTTAAAACAAATACCACACTTTAGAAAAATCATGTAAAAAACACTGGTGATATAAATTGTCTTTTTCAGACTTGACACTGCTACTAGAGGGTTATGCACTGAGGAGAGTAGCTGTGGGATGTGTGTATGAAAAATGGACTCAGAAGATGACTGTCTTCTGGGTTGTAGCATCGTGTAGTCTGGTAGGGGTTTACCAATGTTTCAGAGGCCCTTTCTGCCTCCATCACCAAGACATATGCTGATGATGGAGGCAGCAAGCATTCTTGGAAAACTTCTACCAGACTTCGTGGTGCTACAACCCAGAAGACAGCCATCTTTATACTCACTACCATGAAAACTGCAAATCCTACTTAAAAATGGAATCAGTTCTCTGAATTTTATGAAAATGGAAACATCTATGTGCTCTATACCATTCTACATTTCCCACCAGAGAACACGCACAGATTAGATCACTTTATGCATTACAAGCAAATTATCAAAATATGAAATAGAGACGACATAACTTTTACTTCGAAAGTTAAATTCATCCCTGTCTTCAATAAATGAACAGTGTTTATCTTAACTCTGCTTCACCTTATTAGTTATTGTAAATGTAGCACAAATTAATGCGCCACACTGAATAGGCTCAATCAATCACAGACGAACCGTCTGTGATTCTGAGATCTTCTGCAGTTGCTGTATTTTGCAGACACTAAGTGGTGGCATTACATGATAATGAATGGGTTGTGTTCTGCTCTCTTCTGACCTTAGAGATAAACAGACTTTCTGTTCAGAACCTTAAAGTTATTGACTTCATTATTTTTGCAGACATTTGGGCCATAGGATGCATATTTGCTGAGCTTTTAACTTCAGAACCTATATTTCATTGTCGACAAGAGGATATTAAAACTAGTAATCCATATCATCATGACCAACTAGATAGGATATTCAATGTGATGGGTTTTCCCTTAGAAAAAGACTGGGAAGATATCAAGAAAATGCCAGAACATCCAACACTGCTCAAAGACTTCAAAAGGGCTAAGTATGTTCATAGTACATGTATTTGATCCTTGTGATGATTTTGCATGTTTTACAAGGGTCATTCGGAAATCACTGGTACTTGCCTGAAATGCATGCTCGAGAGATAATGATAGCCACGTAATCATACTTCAGAACATACCATATATTCCCTGCTGAGATTACTGCACCATTGCCACCCTTCTGGGAACTTCCTGATGGATGCACAGCAACCAGTATTTCAGAACAATATGCACCTACTCATGGATACCACTCTGCAAGTTGTTGCTATTAGGAAATAAAAGCAAATCCATTCATGATGGAAGTCCTCGACCCAAGAAATTTCTGACAGCTGTTGACAAACATATGGCCATAGCCTTTTGAGACATGGAGGGCGCCCTGATGGTGGAATGGCTTCCTGAGGGGATGACAGTAAACAGTGTTGATTCCTGTGGCATCCTCACATGTCCTTGTCATCATCCTATTAACACAGTAACATTCACAAGTCGTTGCATACTGTCCCAAAAGACTGGTTTGCTACATCCATCAGAAAGTTACCAGAAAGATGGCAACAGTGCACTGACCTCAGTGGGAAGTATGTGGCTTGTGTCGAGGCGTGATATTCAGCTCGCAGCCTGTATTTCAGGCTAGTCCCAATCATCTCTGAATGACCTTGTACTTACAGCAGTGATACAAACCTTTCTCAAGCACCTGTAATGTTAAGAAGTTGCATCTGGCACCCAGAGAAGTCGTACTATAAGTGCTTTTGTACAAGAGAGGACATATTTTGTTACAATAGTGATATTTTTTGGGAATAACTTTACAGTATGATCATGTACTTGAATCTCTTAACCACACATCCATCAACCAAACTTGTCTCAGAATTTGTGTTTATGGTTATCAGACCCAACACAAACATAATGAATAAAAGGTAAAGATAAACTTGTTTCTGTACCTAAACACCACATTGTGTAAGTATAAAGGAGGCAGTAAAGTTTAAACTCCAAACATTCTTAAATTTCATGCTACTTGAATTTGAGTGGTCAGCTTTACATTTTGGCTGTTTTATCCTAGGCCCATTACTCATTGAATAAGAGGTTGGATGGACAAAAATCCAGTCTGGACATGGTAGTGAAAAGTTATGTGCTGGCCAGTCATCCAACATACATGTCACTGACTCGGCTTAGAGTGATTGGGGATTACCATTATAGTATGACTGGGTTCATTGTATCCCTGTCCCCATTTATAAATTTTTAAGTAAATGATCAATTTCCACAGAAATTTTGTATGAATGTTATGCCATTGGAGGCTAGCCATGCCTTGTGCTTTTTAATTTTCTGATATTGGTAATAACGACATAGCTGTACAAACTTACGAGGTGGGAGTGATGCTGGTGCCACTTAATGTAGGTTACTCAAATTATGTATGATAATAGAGTTTAAAAGAATTGCAGTTTATGTTATGGTAATCTTTTCGTGGGGATTTGGCAGACAAAGTGGCACTGGGACAGCTTTCTTTCCGAGTTCTTTGGATTTCCTCTGTCAGTATCATTTCAGTGCTGCTCCATATTTATTCATGTATAATTTGGGGGATGGACAAAGGTCCATTTCCATAGTCTCACCTCATTGCAACAATAGTGATAAAGCAACCTTTTCTTTTTTTTTGTAGAATTTAAACTGACAACATGGCAGCCATTTGAAAATTATCAAAAACTTTCAGGTTGTTAGCAATAATTAATGAACCACTGAAACTAGAAATTCAAAATTTGGTATAAAGATAAATTATAAACATTCACACAATTTATGTATTATATCTTGTTTGTGAGCAACAGAAATTACTGACTAATAGGATTGGATCTAATAACCATCTGCTCATAAGCCCAGCGTGCTGACTGAACACTAACATTGCATTTACTTTTTAGAATGTTAACTTAGAATTATCTAAATACCTCAGGAGAAATTATTTTTGCCCGTATTTTATTTTTTCTCTATTTAGAATTAATTTTATCCATAAGAATTTTATATTTCTTTCTCATTTTATGGAATTGTATTACTGCCTTATTTAAATTTATTATTTTAATTAATTTCATATGCATTCTAGAACACTGATATGATGCTTTAATTTTTCATTACAGTTACTCCAATTGTTCATTAGTAAAGTACATGGATAGGCATAAAATCAAACCAGATAGCAAAGCATTCCATTTGGTAAGTAATGAAGGAGATAATTATATTACTACCCTTGTAAATTTCTTTTGTTTAATTCATATCATTATGCCCCTTTGCTAATTGCCAGTTGTTGACAGACATAATGCAAGATTGATCAACCTGGTATATTCCTATTTTAGAATTGTAGGTAGTTCTATGGGCCCACCCTTGTCTGCCTATCATCTTTGATCATATTTTTTACCCTCTGCTTGGATATCTTTGTTGTCTTTTTTTTTCAGTTGCTTTACTGATGTCATCACTCCTGACATTTTAGTGTACTCTCACCTTTCCACTTGTTGAGGGTTATGTTGTCCTGATTGTTATATTTTGAATAACATTTCAATGATATTGATAACAGAACTCCTCCCACAGAAGATTTGGTCTAACTCAGAATTTGTCTACAACAGCATTTCACTTCATTTTATATTGCTTGAATCTAAAATAAGAAAAATCACAATGTGCAATGTCAGACAACCCACTTAATTCTTTGAATCTGAAGCTTGTCTAAATAATATTTAAGAATTCAGTTCATAGCACAAAAAGAAAACACTTCTCCATACAAAGATCAATTGGTTTTTGCTATTTAAGAATGTAATATACAGTTTACACTGAGAACCATTTGAAACTGAAAAATACAAAATTAAGAGTTAATGATTGTTTAAGCAGGTGGGACATATTGGGTTTTAAGGGAATAAGAAGAAGAAAAAGGAGGTGATGAAGAATAACACTGTGCAAGGTTCCTCCAATTCTTGATGTTCAAAAAATCTACAAATTTATTTCTATGATTGTGTTACAATACCTGTTGTTTCTTTATAATAAATTTTTCTAGGGCTACCAGCCGTGTGAGATGGCTTAATGTTTTCTTCGTTAAGCCACATTACATGGCTGGTAGGCAGAGAAGAATTTATTATACTGAACCCTACCGGCTCTCGTGACTATAACCAAATTATCCCAGAGGCTGGGTGGTGGTACGGCATAGGATTATCACAAGGGTTAACCTAAATACAAATAAAAGCACTCCCAAATTACCAACATGTATTTAAAATATATATATATAAATTGAAAGGAGAACAAACTTCCAAGGCTCAGGCTCTGGTCGGGGTTACGACTAGCTACGCCAACAACAACAAAAAAGAAGAAGAATAAGAGAGAGAGGGAGGAGAAGAAGAAGACCTATCTGTCTCCAAGCTCTCCCTCTTCGACTCATTCTCTGCCCTGCTGTCCCATTAGGGCCTTGAAGCCAGCGACTCCAAAGAACGTCGAGAGGGGAGATAGGCCACTTTGAGCCATGAGGCATGGCTCAATACTTAGTTGCCCTGAAAGCTTCAGATCATACACCTGTTGTTTGTTTATTTGTTTGTTGAACCCACCCTTCCTTTAGTACATTTCATTTGAGTATGTTCTGACTGTAGAGGCTTATCCATTGTTTTCAAAATATAATATATTTGTGATGAAATCTCAGTTATCCATCTATTAGCCATTATTTATGCATTTGTTATAATTAAGACACCAGGGTCATGGTAGATGGTATTGGGCAGGAGCTATGTCATTACTGTGGCGAGGCTATTGAAGAATGATTTCCCTAAAGGCCCGTCACCAGATATTCACAGGCGACAATCACATACTGATTGTACCGGTTGTGATACTGTGATGGAGAAAGCAACGGGAAACCACTCCATTATAATTCCCTAGTACAATCAAGCATGGCAGAACTCAAATTGCTATGCTGATCACCAACATCCGGAAAGGATAGGCACTTTAAGAAGAAGATAATTAAGACAGTGAAATTTTTCATTTTTGCACACACACACGAGATCATTTCAGAAATTTCCTTTATCAGTAATTAGTGCTATGGTACAAATACAATAAGTCCATAAAATGTATATTATTGAATAATACTTGAATTTATCCTCTACTCAGTGTAATCACTACTAAGTTTGATAGAATTCTATCATCCATCAGTGTGCTATCAATTACTATATCTCGCTGCCTTTGCTAATGTTTGAAATGGACATGGACACTGATCAATGTTCAACATGTGGAAACCAGTGTGCACAGGTCTTTTACTTTACCAAATATTCAATAAAAATACTAAGCACACTTGCTAGCATATTCACAGCCATTGTTAGCATTCATCCACCATCAAATAGTTTCATATGATGGGGCATGGTTCACTTAACCTTTCTTCATTAGATTATGACACATATGTGGTGTTTTATTGCAGACTGCAGGTGGGGATTGACCTAATCCACAGAATTCATGTTTTTTAAATTTGCTTATACTATTTCTTAGTGTATATCTTAGCGTCTAAAAGAAGTTGTTTTATGTGAACCATTATATACTGGAGCTACAATACTGGAAATTTCTGGAATTCTACTTGTAAATATTTGTTATCTCTAAAACTCAGTTTGTATCTAGAACTTCATTTACTTTTTTTCCACAGATAGGAGGAATTTCTCAAATGATCAGTGCTATATAGACTTAACAGTGTAATGAAATAAACTATAAATAAATATTTTCAAAAGAGAAATAATTTGGCATTTCATCACACTGTGGTTCTGGCTCAACATTGTACTGATCTGCATGCAGAATAGTTTAAATTAATAATGGAAACTCCTGCAATATTTCATAGTGTCCCTGGCCGTGGCTGTACATCTTACAAACAATGCATTTATTTGAGTTCTGCGTTACGAAATCAAGTTATTCTGTGTCGAAACATAATTTGCTGTTGCAGCTTCAGAAATTACTTCTGATGGATCCCACAAAAAGAATCACATCTGAACAAGCCATGCAAGATGCCTACTTCCAAGAAGAACCACTCCCAACTCAGGAGTAAGTTTGATCCTGTTCTAATAGACCAGATGCAAGGTTTATAAATCATAAATATATTACAGATATGGGTATGAATAATCCTGTTGCTTTTTTCTGTGTGTGGTCTGTACACTACAGATGTCAAATGGTTGATATATAATGTGTTGAAAGGGTTCTGGGTTTGATCCTGATCATTTCCTTATATCTTGAAAATAAAGTAAATAAAACTGTTAGTATATTGAAAACCAATAACCTGAATATGGGAGCACAGTTAACTCCTGAAATAGAGTGTATATCAGATTTACATAAGATAATTGGCAATGTTGAGCATAATTGTGGTATAATGTTATAAGATATGTAATTGCTTGGAATTGCAGTAAATAACAACCATTCTAAGTGAACTTCTGCCAGCTTACATCTATTGTAGAATGGGCCAGAAAAGGTCCAACCTTTTCTGTCAGTCTGTATGTCATGTCTTTCAGCTAGCCCCAAACTAATCACCCCTAGGAACTATGCATCCCCCAGGGGTTCCCCAAGTGGTGAAGTGATGAAGTGATCCAGGTTCTTTCACTCCCAGGGTTCTTTCAAACACACACCCCCCAGGCTTCTTGTGGGTTTTGCTCCAGTGAGGCTCTTTCTTCCCCAGGCCTGCCCCCTTTAGGGCTTTGCCTACAAGACTTGCTACCCTGTCACTTGGTCCCCCCTTTTCCCATGTATTTTATCACACTGACATCCCCTGCCATGTTTATTTCTCATGGATTGGCTTCCAGGGATGGCCCACCTCTGGGCTTTGTCAGCCCTCTCCCGAGGTTCTGTTGACAAACTCTGGCAGCTCGCTCCTACATTTTGCATTCTGGATATATATTCTTCTTTTTCTTCTTGCTAAGACATATCCATTTTAAATGGGCCAGTATTTTGCCAGGTGAATATTTTTCTTTATTGTTATAAGTTTACATTGTATTCATCTGTTAACCCTTTGAAGCTGAAGTTCACATAAATAGTATTTAATAATTCAGTTGTACTGCAAAGAAAATATACTTCACCATTACAGAGATAAGTTTGTTAATGCTGTTTAAGGAAATGCTGTTTACATTGAGAATCATATGAAACACAATAAAAATTCAGACTGACTTACTGTTAAAATCAGGTGGGGCATTATTTACTACTTGGCTTTAAAGGGTAAAATATGTTATGAAAAATGAATGTTGTGTGGTAGTCTAGTTTAGTTGTTTCATACACATGAGTTCCCAGGTTCAAATCTTGGTCATTCTGACTGAAATTTTAATGCTGTTCATCAGTTCTGATAGTATATAAAGAAACATTCACCTTTTGTTTTCAGTGTTTTTGCTGGATGTCAGATCCCTTACCCAAAGAGAGAATTTCTTACTGATGATGACAACGAAGACAAGTCAGAGAATAAAGCTCGACAGAATCAGCCTCAAAACGTGAGTTAAAAATTACTTGAAGTCATATAATGGGACAAAATTTAAACAACAGATCCAGATGAGACAGTTATAAATAAAAACTTTTCAGTTTCTGTTCTAATATATGTGCATCAAAATTCTGCTCAGAAGGCTTAACATCCAATGACATCCTTTATAGGAGCAAAAATTACCTCTTATACAAATATTAAAAATCCATTCTCTGAAAACTCCTAATATGCTTCTGCTGTCACATGTTTTCTTAGTTCTTTATGTACTGTCTCTTGTACCAGTAACCTTTCCATACTTAGTTGGAGTCTTATTAAAGTGAAGTTGAAAGGGCTGCCAATTTTTGTTGTAGTAAATGTCTATTTGTTCTGTTGAAAACTGGTGACTCTTGAGTATGTATTTGACCATAAAAATAGAGAAAGCACATAACAATTCTGTGTTCTATGAGGATTAATAACATTTAAAAAGTGAATTCAATTGGGATAAAGGCCTCCCCAAATGGACCTTCCCATGACTTAACGGCTGAGGGGTTCCCAGTTTCTTTCTTTTTCTTTTTTTGCTGCTTCTAGGATCTACTGTTTCCACACTTACAATATTGTTACAGTCAAGTGTTGACAGATACGGGGTTACTTCAAAAGTCATGGCAACTAATTTTTGGGGGACAAACACGTTATATTGAAGAAAGTTCAAAATATACATATGTAAGGGCACGATATACTCCTCCGATTGGCATAGTCAGATCAGGTAGGTGTGAATGGGTGTAGGTATAATAGGCAAGAAAAAAGGCAAATTGCGGAATGACCGTTTTAAGAACCTTTTACGACGTTGGAAAATGGAAGTATTTATTGCCTGAAACCAATGAAATGCTATGACGTAGCATACTAAAATATGTACAGTGAAAGCTGAAGATAAATCTGGAATCACAGCTACCGGAATGAAATGAATGGCTCAGATACCGGAATACACATGGAAACGCTACAGACGCAACCAAGATATTTTCGTTGAACTGAAGCTGGAATAATTATTTGAAAAGCTTTTAGACTGGAGACTGGAGTCAGCAGAATGCAGGGAGACAGAAATAATGATGAAGTACAGACCAGTTGGATCAAGATGCCAAAAAAACTTTCCATAATCACATCTTTCATTCATTACTCCACTTAAAGGAGTGATAAATATAGAATAGGTTACACACAGCTACAGCACCAGCGTTAGAGCAGTACATAGAGAAATCTAATTGGGCTTTTCAATGTCCAGTCAATCAGCAAAGTGATTAAGTACAAGAAGACTTTCTGTATAAGGGTCTATTACCACAACTTACAGTATTTAAAAGAATATAATTTAAGTAACTGGGAAAATATGTTATTATCTTCACAAGGTCTAGTTTATATCATGTGAGGCTATATAATAATCTTTTACAATCAAAATGTAGTCATATTTGCATAAATTAATGTACTGTGTGTGCGTGAGCGCACATGGGGGGGGGGGTGGAGGGGGACTTAATCAGGTCAGAAGAAAATTAAAGGATAACATTTTGTGTGTAAATGTTCACAAACGAGTCCGACTTTGCATTAATTTATGTGCGTGAAGTTAATTTTTGGTGACACTGGATGACAGATGTTTACTCTGAAACTACTACTGTTTGATCTTCCTTCATCGCTTTACGATTTACCAGGGTAATCAAGGAGGCCAAGGGGACCAAGGCAATCACAACCACAATCACGGCCCTAATGCCAAGCGTGTACGTCTGGCTCCGCCTCATCCTGTCAGCACGTCGTCTGGTATATCACAACAACAACAGCAGCAACAAACAGAATTCCATCATGTACAACAGCAGCAACAGCAACATGTGTCTCAGCCAGGCATGATCTACAACTCAACATCTAACACCCAACCAACACCTAATTTTGCACAGCGGTTCTAACATTGTTATCTCGTGACTCAGGTAATGTCCACAAAAGTGACTTTGCTATAATGAAAGAAGCCTTGCTTCCAGATGCCAGTAAGTGCCAAATATTGGACATTGGGTTAGCTGCATTCTTATTCTGCTGTCTGAGATATTTTCCAGATACAAGAGCTGTCCAGTTTGTGAATATAGGATTGTGAAATACATTTAATTTGTCACTGAATGGCAGTTATCAGCTGAAATTTATGCATTTATGTGTACAAAAAATACTTTAGTGAGCATGTTAGTTTTCTTCTTCTTCTATTTCCGGTTTAACAATGTTTATACATTTTCCGGTACCCTTTTACGGGTCCCAACTTTCTGTTGGCTTGATCTATGGACATTCGGTAGGACTCCATGGACGAGGGATTGGCCTTGTACGCAGGATAGCATAACACAGAGAGACGCGGACGAACATCCATGGCTTGAGTGGGATTCGAACCCACGGTCCCAGCGACCAAGCGGCACAAGGCTCATGTCTCAGACTGCGCGGCCACTGTGGACCCCGCATGTTAAAAATTTTGTCATTGGCATGATAGTGCTTATCAATATTTCTTTATACCATTAGACTTATATTCTGAAGAGACATTGGATGGAATCTTTGATTTATTCACTGCCATTTCGGTGTGGACTGCATTTTGGTTTGGTTTAGACAAACACTTCTATCAAATATGTTAGAAAACCAGTTGTGGAGGATTTACAGCAATAGAATGTTTTTGACAAAACATAAAATATTTCTGTGACTCATCCTATTTTAAGCATAGACTATTGCTTTTATAGCAGCAGCCCAGGTACAGTACAGACCAAAAGTTAAATGCACAGTGAGCATGATGCAAATGTATTATGATGATCAAAGGGAAAGCAGCTTAAAACAAAACAGCTAAAACTGTTATGTTTACTGTGATTCACTTCACTAATTTTTGTAGAAGAAACATAAATGCATCACAGGTGGGGTATGAAAATGGAGAATTATATTTTTTTATTGGTGTCTTCATTGGAAGTGAAAGCCCATAAGACGGCACTGTGTATTCTCAATGCTCGATGAACCACAGACTAAGCTATGATGTCATTGTCAGTGAATATGTTAAAGGAAGGAGCTGGAGTCATTAAATGCTTGGGAACTTTTGACACGAAGAGCTGAAAAAAAATTCTCCTTGTTCTCAAAAATTAAGTTTCACCCTTACAAGTTGTAACTACTGTATTAGGCTAATTTCAGTGACATATAATTTCTTATTACCTACTGAAACAGTCAAATGTACCTAGGTGTTCAATCATCCACTTTTGTAACAGTTCATTGGGTACAAAACTACAAGATAAAAATTATTGCATAACCTTAAAGTGATAGGTGCTAATTATTTTTTAATACTAATTGTGGCTCATGTTTTTCTGAACAAATGGGGCCAGTACCAATACAATCTACAGACCCTCCCCCCACCCCACGCATTTATTTAAAAAATGATAAATCTGCTCATTTAAATTTTCATTATTTTAAAAGTTCACAACAATAAAAGCCAGACAGCGACTTTCTTCTTTCACGTGCAATCAGACATGCCTTTTTTAGGTCACAGAGTACAAACATTTTTTATTTTCGTATTTTCTTTAGTTATTTCTGTATAGTCTGAAAAAAGCACTGACCTTTTTAATGTGTATCTTTTCTTCAGTTGTCAGATGGGAAAACAGAGTTTCTAATAAATTTTCAAGTGTATTACTACTTCAAAATCATCATTCAAATATAACCCCACATACATATATGTGCGCGTGCACACAAACAAACAAACAAACCAATCACACTGTCTTAATTACTTAAACAAAGATATTTTCATAGGGTAAATATCAGATGGTAAGACAATTCCAAGAGAGTAAAATATATGCAAACTTCTCGTTAGGTCTGTATGTCCTGGCCGTTGCAAGCAGAGGGCATGACATCTGTTGATGACCAAAAGCCAATGGAAGTAACTTTGATGGTAGACGGTGCTCAACTAGGGCCCATGACATAAAGCACTCCATGAACTTTTTGATAAAACCTTTCTATGCTATATTAAATCTAAACAAATTATTATGAATGTGTAACCCTATTTTTTATGCATCGACAAATTAAATGTTGTTCTTTATTTAAATATTTTATCATTGCATTCTGATAAAATACCCATAAATCAGAGATTTTGAAATGTTATTGTTTGCATCACAATCTCACGCCACCATAAAAGTGCAAAATGGAAAAGCTCTTTGCACTTCTGTCTTTCTAATAATTATATAACCACTATTAAATCATAATAATGTATACAGCATTAAGTTGAGATTTAAAACTTCTGTGTATAATATTTTTCACTCATATTTCTAACATCAGATCGTTCAAATAAATACAAAATTGATTTATTATTGCTTTGAGATTCATATTTCTAAAAGAAATTTGATCAGTAGGTCTTATTAAGGTTTTCAGAATACAAAGTCTTTTAAGCATAAAATATATTTACAATGATACTTATCAGCCACTGGATTATTTAGCACCAACAAATATAACATATAATGCGTAGGATAACTCGGTGAGTAGAGTTGCAAGAATTTCAGTACTAGAGCCAGAAGACTCGACACCTCTAGTTCCAAAGTTTGTCACTGAACATGATCCTGAACCAGTTCAGTCTAGTACACTTTCTGTCTCTCTGAGGTACAGTTTAATGTTATCCACCCTTCTCTTTCTAGGTCTTCAGGTGGCTGATTCCAAGAAGTATCCCCAACTAAATTCTGTATTTTCTTCATCCTCACTAGCTGAAAAACTGTCATAAAGTGACAAGCCTCGATGGTTTAATTATTTCTGAAGTTGACATATCATAACTCAAACATGAGATGTTGCAGTATGTGCAAGATGATATTTAAATAAGCGGTGTAGTTTGAAAGGTTTCCGTTTTATTTGTCAGAGACATTTTTTCTTTTAATTCATTAGTGACTGGAGTTGGTTTATGAGTTGGGGAAGTAAGAATTTTATTGATGGTGGTGTTGAAACCATTCTAGATCTAAGAATTAAACCAGAATAGTGCTGAATTTAGTACACTTTGATTTAAGAAGAGGGCAGAACAAGAAGAGTACCATAAAAAACCCCGCAAAGGTGGCTGTACTCAATTTTTTTTTTCTGTGGAAACAACAATTTTATTCTAGTATTTGAAGTTTTCACAGCGGTGGGTATGAAGATTTCTGTCTTCTGGGTTGTTGCGCCGTGTAGTATGGTAGACATCTACCAACGTTTCAGAGGTCATACTGCCTCCGTCGTCAGGGCGATGAATTGGCTAGGATTCGGCTACTCCATTCACTGTCTGGTCCCTATAAACCTAGCATTTTCCGATCAATTGGCTCATTCATTGCCCTGATGACTGAGGCAGTATGACCTCTGAAACATTGGTGGACGTCTACCATACTACACGGCGCAACAACCCAGAAGACAGAAATCTTCAAGAATTTTATTCAATCTGGAAGTGAAATATATACAAATGACTTTTTTTTTCTTAGCTCTGACATACATTACTTGTGTTAAAATATTTATTTTATTTTATATCATGATAAATATGCCCTGTTTTTTTGTCTTATTTTTACATAGTTTTGTTTTTGTCAAATCTGCTTGTTTTATTTGTGTACCTGCTCCTCGCACCAATGACTCTTGCATGTACGTGATGAAATACATTTTAATACAGAGTCACGCAATGAAGTTTTGGAATATTTGATGTCAAAAGAACAAAAAACGTAGCAAATCGTATAACTGGAAACGTGAGTTTTGCTGGCATGAGAATCTGGTGTAGTAATAAGCTAACTTTAACTTGTCCAGACTGTATACATTTAAAGTGGTCCATCCACGTACGAGTCTGGTTCGGCTCGGGTTCCATTGAGCCAAACTCATCTGTGGGTGGGGTGTCACGAGCCGAGTCCGCTATGCATGTGTGGTGAAATATATCCAAGCCCGGCTCACGAGTCAAGCTCGCCGAGCCAGAATCGAAAGTCAGACTCATGTGGATGGGCCGCTTTAGTAATAAACTCAATATTTATGGCTGTATGAAATGTTAAGTCCTCTTCTTTTTTACTCAAATAATAGTAAATTGTATATTTTAAAAATTATTAAGTAAAATTCTGCTATGAAATAAAGAACTGTAATTATACAAAAATAGTGTAGTTAAAATGCCTAGTGAGACTGCACAATGTTACCACTGCAAAAGAAAACATGTTTTGAGCACTCCTCGTAATTAAGCATTTGTGTGTGTGTGTGTGTGTGTGTGTGTGTGTAATTAAAGAATTTGTAAATATTCCCCAACTGCTCCGATGGCAACAGTGGAACAGACTTCAAAAATAATTCTCAAAATGTATGAGTCTGAAATCTGTTTAAAAATGTTATTTTACTATGTATTAGTGACAGAGAATTCTAGACTACTATTCTGAATTACCATTAAGTGAAGATGTATCTCAAGGCAGACGGAATGGCTCAGATAATAAATAATACGATGATGGTGTTTTATTCTTATTCCTTGTGTGTAGGTCAAGAATGCTTAATGGAAATGATAATTAACATTGTAGCGATACAGAAAACAATTGTGGGAACTGTAACCTCATAACTAGTTTTTTTTCTAAGTATTTTCTCTTATGTTAAGATAATGGGAACAACCCGTTCTTCAAGTGCCTGAGCACTGCAGGTCCCAACTTTTCGTTGGCTTGATCTATAGACATTTTGGTAGGACTCCTTGGACGATGGATCGGCCTGTCGCAAGGCCTCTACCTGTACACAGGACAACACAACACAGAAAAACGTGGACAAATATCCATGGCTTGAGTGGGATTCGAACCCAAGGTCCCAGTGACCAAGCAGCAGAAGGCCCATGCCTCAGACCGCGCGGCCACTGTGGACCTCGTTATGTGAACATATAATTAGAATAACATTCAAACTGAACCTTAAGTGAACGTTATGACATAACCTAGACAGCTGGTGGATGTTAAGCTTAAATTGCATTATTAGGATAATATTTTTTACTTTGTTTTCATACAAAAAAAATTGTATTATGAAGGAAAATTCATAAAAAAAACATGATTTTATGATTTATGGGAAAACATGTTTTGTCATCAAAATTGCATGCCCAAACAGTAATTTTATTAAACTTGTTCAGGAGTTTTTCTGAGCAAAGGAGTAGCCCAATTAAGAATAGTTCCCGTGGCCATGGAGGTAAACATGTACTTGAAGAACCAGCCAATGAATCACCATGCCCTTCCATAACATTAGCTAAAGTTACGTCTCTCTTTGACACCATAGGATTGACTATTTAAAATCTACATAGAACAAGCTTTAAGAAAGTGGAAGAGGAAATGTCGAGGTACGCGAAAAGAAAAGAGCAACAAAAATTATACAGGGCTATTCAAAAAGATTGTCGGGGTTTTGTGAATTTTTGTATGAGGTGCGATCGGAAAGTTTCAAGACTGTGTCAATAGAGTGCGAACCGGATGTAGTACGAGCTTCTGCTGCTAGGGGGTGCGGCCTACATTCATAGTGAATCAGTGTGCCAGCCGGCATCATCGAATTAGCATTTGTTTCTTAGTTACGGGCGTTTTGGTAGTGCATTACACCGACCCTCCTGCGATTTCGGAATGGCGTGTGCATCAAATTTTGCCAAAGACTCGCCAAAACGGCTACGGAAACCTATGAAATGCTAAAGCAAGCATTTGGGGAGTCCGCAATGGGTCGTGCACAAACTTTTGTGTGGCATTCACGTTTTAAAAATGGCCGAACCTCTGTCGATGATGACGAGCGTTCTGGACGACCATCTTCGAGCACAACGCCCGAAACTGTTACGAAGATCGACGTCGTACCATCACTTGTACGACTTGTGCGACATTGTTGGGATAGGCTATGGGGCCTGTCAGCTGATTCTAAAGGAAGAACTCCACATGCGACGCAAGGCTCCTGTCTGAGGACCAGAAGCAGAATCGCCTTGACTTCTCGTTTGTCAGGAGCTCAAAGATCTTGCAAGAACCGACCCCAACTTCCTTTTTAAGCTCCGTGTGACTTCTTCCTCTTCCCAAAGATGAAATTTCAGCTAAAGGGAATTAGATTTGAGACGATAGAAGAGATTCAGGCAGAATCGCAGATGGTGCTTGACAGGCTGACAAAGAAAGATTTCCAGGGATGCTTCCAGGCTTGGCAGCGGCGCTGGGATCGTTGTGTTCACTCAAGGGGAACTACTTCGAGGGTGATGGATGAATTTAATACCTGAGATAAGTGTACGGGTTTTTATACGCGCAGTCTGGAAACCTTTCGATCGCACCTCGTACGTATCAGAGCCGCCATTCTAAACATCACCGCTGACACGCTGGGGTGTGTGTGGGAAGAAATGGACTATCGTGTAGATGTCTGCAGATTGGCAGAAAGCGCACATATTGAGCATTTATAATGCATGTAAAACAACTTTGAGAGTTTTGCTACACAATAAAACAAGATTGGTATTCCTACATCAATTGTATTACGTGTAGTGATTTTTTAAAACCCCGACAATCTTTTTGAATAGCCCTGTATATGCTACAATGTGCTAACGTCCAGGTGTTAATAGCACAGGATAATGAAGACCTAGAATACATGACATGGAAACTGAAAGACGAATACATAGAATGGGAGTTTAACATAACCAAATATCTATGCATTGGAGGTCCATCATAGAACTTACATTTGAAAGAAAATGAAATAATATTACCAGCCGAAGAAAACAAATACCTGGGAATAAAAATACATAAAGATGGGAAAGATACACATGAAATAAAGCAACGAACAGCATATGGTAGAACCACAATCAGAAGAATCAGAAATCTTGGCCTATAATTTTCAACCTTTAGGCTACGCGAAACATCCTGATAAACTGCGGGGTGCTTCAAGCACAGAGCAAGTTCGTTTAAGTGAAATCTACAGAGGAATTTACGAATGACATTTATTGTTTACCAGAGTTTGAAATTTAAAAATGCTATATTCAGTGGACTGGAAGGGGATTGAACACACAGCCGGTAAGACGAACAAGCTACACCACAACGCTTATCAAACAATAACTTTCTCCCAAGATATCTGGGAAGTTATAAAAATTCTGAAGAGCTCACGACCTTTCTAATGATCTACAAGTAATTGCTGTACAACAACCAGAAACTGATCTATCAGCTAGACTCCGACTTTTTTACATTTGGGCACAATTTTTATTTTTTACTAACTGCGTTTATCACAAATACTCATACTTTAGGCAAATGTGTCAATGAGCTTTTGGAATGTCGGGTTGCTCATTCCCGCATAATAATCCGGGGACCTAATCCATGCATAGGGCAAGGCCGCTGTCTAGTGTTAGAAGTCCAGCCAATGAAATTTAAACCACCGAGTCTGCGAGGGGGAGGTTTTACTTGGTTCTTACAACAGATCGGAAGTGTCTCAAGTCTTAACTACTGGTAGTTACGTCGGCATTGAATTCTAAGTGATTATCAATGGGTGTAACCACGGCGGTCACTGCACCAGTGTTACCAATAAGGATCGACACTTGTGTGTAGTTATTGAAGAAAGGGAAGCAGTACCACCATCATTATCATTATCCCGCCACCGTCACCAGAAGACAGAAACCCCAAGTTCCTTCATGTATAACCCTGAGAAATACACGCTCCACGTCCTCACACAAAACCCTCTAGTCCAGCGGTATTCAACCTTTTTTGTTCGCGTACCCCCAGACATAATTTCCCTTCAACTCTGTACCCCCAAAGTTGTTGGTGTATAATTCAAGTTATGCATAGTATATAATCCACATCTAAAATAAATTAAATAAATTATATCCAAAATAATGTATTAAATAATTGATAAGTTTTAAATGAGAAAAAGGAGAATCAAAACTATTAATAACAAATATATTAATACCTATCATATAAAAATTAATAAAGGAACAAAGGTATTTTAGCAAAGCAAAATTATATGTTTAAATCCCGCCCAATAGTGTTCAGTCAGGTTCCAAAGCACTATGTGGAATAAAATGAAACTAGCCGCCTAGATAAGAATCGTATAAAGGAGAGAGAGAGAGATGGCGCTCCCAAATCGAATGTCCTTACGACTGGTTCTCGTGTGACTAACCCTAAATCTGGCCCTGGTTATTCAGTGTTTATCATAAAATAATATATATTTTTTAAAATTTCGCGTACCCCATGTTGAATACCACTGTTCTAGTCCATCCAGCCACTGAGCGCCAGCCGAGCATCCAACAAATCGTCTCTTAACATAACTACCCTTCAGCTGAAACATCAGCGAGCCGACGATATAGTGTGGACAAATCGCCTGTGAGCCAAGGGCCGCAATGGAGTGAGTTGGGAAACGAAACGGAGGTGAACTGTATTTAAAGTAGTTTAGGAATTAACCAAAATAAAATTAAGAAAGTAATAATAAACTCAGCAAAAGTAACCGATTCCTGTCGGCCTTCAAACTGCGTGCACAGATGCTTTCCAGAGATACCTAAATCCTCATTCATACACTTACAGCATTAATTTGACGCGAAGTTTAAGCAATGCTGTGTCACAAACCATTTTAAAATGAACCGGAGATAGTAGGCTTTCATCAAAGCTAATATATACCTCGAAAGATGTGAAAGGCCCTCATATTCTCATTATTTCCAAGTATTTTTGCATGGTGTACCACGCTTTACTTTGACTTCAGCTGGGATATCAGGTACAAAAAGTTTCAGAACCCCCGATCCAATCCATGAAAAAACGTTACACTTTGTTCTTCGTCAATTCAAGCAAATGGTGATTTCAAAGTGGCGTAACGCGCGTGCGCGGTGATGCGAATTTTAACTACAACACATTCCAATTTTGAGTAATTTCTTTCGCACCCTTGCACAGCATTTCGGCAGCTGAAATGTTGTGTACAATCATGACTAGATGGGCTCTGTAAAAACGAGCAAAATTTCAAGCGAGGTCTCGACATGACCAACCCTTGTGAGACAGCATATTGTTTGTGGAGGATGGAGAAGGCAGGTGGATTGATAGTTATATATGGGTACAATTGTGATATGTTGTCTCTAAAATCGTGTTATTATGCCTGTTGTATTCATTAATTTGTATTTGTTTTTTACTAATTATGAATATATTGTATTATTTTAATCTTCTAGTGGATAATTTTCACCTATTTAATCATCGACAAATCTATGCTCATAACTATTATTTGAATCGAAGATGTACAATGGCTTGGATATAATCTGAGTGAACCTGATGAACCATGAAATTCTGTATTAATGAACACTTGTAATTTTTCTTTCTTTCTTTCTCTATATCCTCTTTTACCCGCAGGTGTCGAGGTTTATTTATTCATTTTTATTGATGTTTGGACAATGGTAGGACTCCTTGGATGAGTGATCAGCCCGACGCAAGGCCTCTACCTATACAAACACAAAGACGCGGACAAACATCCATGCCTTGAGTGGGATTCGAACCCACGGTCGCAGCAGTCAGTCGCACCATGACCATGCCTCAGGCCGCGTGGCTCTGCGGCCGACTACACTTATAATGGAACAGTAAAAAGTTCATGAAGAAAAGAGGCAGTGTCAAAAAATCAAAAATACTTCATACGTAGAACATTTTACAGCGAGGGTTTTCAACTCTCGGGGCTGTGTTGTTTTGTGCGGACCGCGTACAATTTTCTCCACTGTGTCGCTCTATATGACTAAAAATAGTAATCTTATATCAGAAAGCGCGTTTTCTTAATGTCGTCAGTATCCATCGCTGCGAGAAAATGTACGCCACAGCTTAACGACCAACGTCAAATCAAGAACGATGACGCGTTTTACCTATGCACACTTGGAATGATGCATACGTATCACTGACTACGAGAAGAAGTGAAGTAGCCACTGAAAGGATGGTCATGCAGAAAAATTCACACACATCTTACGTACGATTTATTTGTCAGGAAAACGTTGAGTGATATGTGAATCGAAAGTATTGAGACAGTAGGTCGAATTCAGTAGCACTCTTAATAAATTGCCACAAAGTTTAAATAAATTGTCCTTTGTATAAATAACAGCGTTGTCGGCGATTCGTTAACAAAGGGTGAATATGGTTCCAGGTCTGGAAAAGGTTAAGAACCCCGGATTCTCAAAGTGCTGATCACAATTCTATTATGTGTGTGTATTCCATACAGGGTTGAATAGTATGGCAAGATTATCATGAACGTGGCATATGTCAAAGAACTATTCCATCTTTTACCTGCATAATCTACGGAAAACTCAAGTCAGGATAGAAGCTATCTTAGTTGAGGTTCAAATTGGGTAAGGTTAAAAGTAAAATTGTCCCTTCTGCTTAACTAAGCATCACGTCATGAAGACAGTGGAAGAATAGTTCCATTCTTTTTTGATCTCGGCACTAGACAGAGGTGAATGGTCAGCTTTATGCCCCACTATTTGGTCGGTAAACCAATTAATGGCATCACAAAACATATTTTGATAAGAAAGGTAATCCCAGTGTTTAACCCTCATGAGGACACATAAGAAAGTTGATGTAAACTCTGGGCTCACTACATACAACAAAAAGCATGCGTGAGGTCACATTAACAGTGTGACGCTCCAATGGTTGCATGCTTATGACCTGAGCTAAAAATATTTACCACTTACCTGCAGCTGTCTTAATCATTGATCTGTAGTCCGACGACCCCACATAATTCTCCATCACCGTCACGACTAAAAACACTATTCTTTCTGCATGCCACTAAACACACAACATGTCACGACAACTGCCAATGTCGAAGTGAATGATTTGTGACTACAGACCGCAGAACACATGCGCAGTACGATAACGCCCTCACAAGCGCTAGGTTTTGTAATGTTCCCGTGCTTCTAGATATAGTGGGCCAGCCCACTGCATCGTCACGTAGCCTGATTCATCCATGCTCTAGATGGGGGTAAATAGTGAAATTCGCACACCGACCACTTTAACAGCGAGGATTAGCTTCTGGTAAACAGTGGTTAGAAGTCAAATTAGATCCGCGAGCATGTTAGAACGTACCCACAAAAGTCGACGCCAGTGTATGCCTGTGAACTTGGTTTCCTGTGCTGAAGGAAAAACCGATTGGGACATGCAACACATGAATGCATAAAACTGACAACTCGTCCCCAGCCAGGCTGCTTTCTTTCTAGTCGCGGCACTCGGGCTTACCATGTCCTTTATCCCATTCGAAATCTGCACCCGTTTCAAAGTTAGTCGTTTTTATCACTTTCTTTCGGGTAAATACGACAATGTAGAGCCTTCACATAATTCGATGCCCACTTCATGTTGGAATACAATGGGGTTAACGTTTCAAACAATGAATATGGCGTTCTTGCTGATTTTCCTTTCTGTGGTCCGATACACCCGAAGTTAGGGTTGGCAAGACGCAATACGGTAACAGACTAGCTGTGTGAGATCTTTGTCTTGGGTCTTTAACGTGCAAGAGTGGCAATGGCGTATCCGTCAGAAAAATTCACTTGGGAACTCCGGAAAATGACATTCGGTGTAAGATTTGAGGTTTTCACAGCGGTGAGTACGAAGATTTCTGTCTTCTGGGTTGTTGCGCTGAGTAGTCTGGTCGATGTTAACCAACGTTTCAGAGGTCATACTGCCTCCGTCATCAGGGCGATGAGTACGAAGATTTCTGTCTTCTGGGTTGTTGCGCTGAGTAGTCTGGTCGATGTTAACCAACGTTTCAGAGGTCATACTGCCTCCGTCATCAGGGCGATGAGTACGAAGATTTCTGTCTTCTGGGTTGTTGCGCTGAGTAGTCTGGTCGATGTTAACCAACGTTTCAGAGGTCATACTGCCTCCGTCATCAGGGCGATGAGTACGAAGATTTCTGTCTTCTGGGTTGTTGCGCTGAGTAGTCTGGTCGATGTTAACCAACGTTTCAGAGGTCATACTGCCTCCGTCATCAGGGCGATGAGTACGAAGATTTCTGTCTTCTGGGTTGTTGCGCTGAGTAGTCTGGTCGATGTTAACCAACGTTTCAGAGGTCATACTGCCTCCGTCATCAGGGCGATGAGTACGAAGATTTCTGTCTTCTGGGTAGCTGCGCTGTGTAGTCTGGTAGACGTTCACCAACGTTTCATAGGTCATACTGTCTCCGTCGTCAGGGCGATGCACTATGACCGTGGCAAACCCCGTTCTCCTGCTTTCTCAGCAAGTCAAATTCTCCCCTTAACAATCCGTAATGTTGGGTTATGTTACTATTTTCTGAATTGATGTCATTATGCTTACGTTCTCTCACACGTGTCGCCCACATTTTCGTGTTTTACTGTACACCGTTTGCTCTATCTGGAATATTCTCACCATCTTGAGCATTTTCTCCCAATATCTGCATATTTTCCACACATGTTAATGTTGTTACTTTTTTTCGTCAAACGCCACATCCTTTCACACGCTGCCCTACCTATTCCCATTCTGTATAATTTCATCTGAATTACAAACCTCATTATTTAAGGTAATTTCGTTTATAGAGTCCTGCAGTTCACACTGGGTGTCATTTCTTTTGTTGCTTTGCCTTTTACCAGATTTGAATTCATTTAGACAGCCAAAAACAATTATTTTCCACATGCATCTTCTAGCTAGGATTATATTTAAGCAAGCCTGCACAAACTGAAAGTACATGTGGGCACAATGAAAACTACAGAAGTGCTTTGGGCTGCAGTCTCGCATTTCTTGAATTATAATTACATCAGTTTAAACTATATAAACATTATGCATTGTGTAAATTAATACATCAATGCATTATATTAATTATTGCGTTAATTATTTTACTATTTCAATTTGCAACAGCATGAAATCAGTAACTAACAAGTCATAATTAATTAATACTTTGATTATTAGAAATTACAATTTTTTATGATAAAATGATTTATAAGGTTGCATCACACATGAACCAAAGGAAACCTTAAAAAAATGTTAATTTACTTTTATCATACCCTGTGCAACATTAATAACAGCATAAAAGTTTTTATGTTTACTTGTGATTTGTGAGACACATCACACATCTTGTCTGCAATTAATTTGTTATACTCACGAACCATATTTGTTGATGTCTTCAATGTATCTTCCAAATGTTAATCAGCTAAGAGAATATCGCTGTTTGGTTTTGTTCATGCTCATTATGGAAAACATTTGCTCGCATATGCATGTACTCCCAAATACACAACAAACTTGCAGAGTAGAAAATCTTATGTCTTTTAACTTGGTCACATCCAAGCTACTGTAGATCTCTGGAAGGATGGCTGCTTTCCCTATCTTTATTTCGGTAAGCTGACAAGCTCTGAAGTTCAATAAATTCCACCTGTAGATTAATCTGGGGTTCTTCTGCATCTGACGAGAAAGTTTATTAATTAACCTTAATAACGTGTCTTCCACTTTTTGGAAAAGTCAGTCTCAGTAATTCGATATCATTCGAGTATGTTTCCCACAACTCTGCAAGTTTGCACAGAAGAATACGTTTCTTACAAGTAGGAAAAAGATCCATTTCGCCTCTAGAGTTGACTTTTGAATACTTGCAATTTCATTTTGAAGGATGTGAGTGTTAAATTATAAGTCAAGCTTTTCTTTGAAGCTGTAAATGAAGCACATTTAAATGACTTGTAATGTCACAACGAAAATACGGGTCACTGTTCTACTACTCGTCGTGCAGCTCTGGCTACAAAACGTTCGAACATTCTTCTGCTGCCCAACCAGCGAACTTCGGTGCAATAGGTCAAGGCAATGAAGTTCGCGCTAACTACTTCGAGAAATGCTAGAAACAACCCGCGTGTCAGTCACCTAGATCGAATGAAGTTTACAACTTAAACCACCACAGACATCACATGCTCAAAATTTAAAACAATGCTACATAGTAATTGCTGCTGGATAATACAGTTGGTTTTCCACAAGCCACTGCAATATTTTTGCCTCGCACAGATGGAGCGCCATTAGCAAAAACGGCCACTTAGTTGTTGAATGTAAGACCTAATTTTTCAGTCACACACTTGTTAACTTCACCTGCAATTTCTCTCCTGGCTGCACAGCCCTTCATAGAACACAAACTCGCTGGTTCCTCGGTGACTGCAAAGTTTTCATCAGTGACACAAATTAGAATTAACAGTTGCGCAATCTGTCTCGTACATATAACAGCCGACCAATGTCGTTTGGTATTCAATCACTGCTGATAGTTCAGAAATACAAATGTTATAACTAGGTTACATTCCATCCTACCGTCAAAAGTAATCAATTTTAAATATGTTTCTTATTAGAAGAAAATAAATTTAAAAATAATTAAAAAAGGCATGAAGAAAAAAGCACAATTTCATCTGAACTTACTGTACAGCAACACAACACGTCACAATTACAAAAATTAATGGGTTAGTGCTGTGTATGGAAATAATGGCTGTTCATACTGAGAAATGTATGAAACACATAAGAACAAAGTGCTGAGTTATTGATCCTTGAAGCAAGTGGTACAAAAAGTTACCTTTGAGCTTTAAAGGGCTAACGTGCTATGTGAGAAGCATATTTTATAAATGGAATAGATGTGTTTCTTCTTAACAGTTTTTGACCTAATCAAATTTAATATGACCCAGTCCAGTGCTCAAGAATGTATAATTTTTCATCTTGTTTCAAAATAACATACATTTAAGTTACTAATTAAAGTGGTTCAACGTAAGGAATGTGACACTTGGAATAGTTAAAGATACAAGTCATATATGCTACATCAGTGGTCCCCAACACGGTGCCCACGGGCGCCTGCCAAGCCTATTTTTTGGGTGCCCGCGTTGATACGGAAAGAGGTTATACTGAATAATGAAGGCCGTTCAACCATGAACGTTATAAAATCAAAGCACAGATCTCAACTTACTGATACCCATCTTGACGATTATTTGCGAGCAGCAACATCATCCTACACTCCCAAATTTGAAAAACTGGCCAATGAAATGCAGCGCCAAATATCACACTAACTTCCCACTTGAGTAATAATAATTGTACTTTCGTGTATTATTTGGTGTCCATATCTTATTTGTCCAGAGAAGAGAAAATTTGGCTTTGTTAATTGGTTTTTGTCCGCCACGATCTCATAAACTCTCAAATGTGCCCATAGGCACAAGAACGTTGGGGACCGCTGGACTACATTATACCTCAGATTGTGGCTAGTTTCCTCTTCAATCTGTTACATCTTTCTTCTCAACTCTTGGTGCTTGTAATCAGATGCGCATGTACAAACACTGGACTCGATAAATTACATCTTATACCAGCATCTGAAGAATACAAAGGATGCTGTGACTGCCACGTCAACAATGCAAAAACCAATAGGAATAAAGAATCCCCCCCTGTTATTCACTGAGGAATATCTCATCTAATAAAATTAACTAAATCTGCCAGAAAATTCTGTCAAGCACTACCCAAGTCAAGCGACAAACTATTTTAAAATATATCTTTCATTAAAATTTCTATTTTAAAGTGAGATTTCTGGATAGCTACAAGTTTCAAATTTTCTCATTCTATCAACAAATAAATATTACATAATTCTACTGTTCAAAAGCTGAAATAAAGAAAATGTTCTTGTCTATTCTACATAGAATTAAAGTCTATTATCTATTGTAAAACTTTCAGGATAAAAGGGTAACAAAAGATACACCATAGTCACCACTACACTGAATCCCGACAGTGTAATTAAATGAGCTTAGACATAAAAATAAACATCACCAGGGTAATCAAATTTGCAGCTTTGCAGATTATTAGTAGTTTTCATTAATTTAATGAGCCACGTTCTACCCCATGCACAAAGAATTTGTTTTTACAAGAAAAATTTCCATTTTTCTTGGTCATGATATGTTGATAATGCCAGAACAGATGCATCACAATTTGAGCTCACAGATAAACAGTTCTGAATTTTTAACGTACTGTGGTATTGTCTACAATGGATGGTATGGAAACTGCATACAGAGGAACCACAGCTCGACAGCTGCTGTTTTTGTAAACATAATATTTTCATATTTATATATATCTACCATTTCTTTATTCATGGAATCAATAATTTTACAAATAATTGCTATATGATGACCAGCTCCACTCCTACAACCAACAAATACTACACTTGACGTAAGAGGAGATTCCACATGCACTGTCCCAAACCGATGGTTCCTCCTTAAAAGCATAGCTACCAAATGTTCTATCTACAGCAACGAACAAATTTAAATGTACACCAGAACTTGAGGTTGAAATGGAGCTATCAAGTCTTTAAGTGGATAGAAAAGATTGTGGGTACTGTTCACACCCAATTAAAAACATCTGATAAATTGAGTTATAAGAAAATAAAATTGAAGTAATAAAAGATTATAAATCTAACTTAGAGTCATTTTAAGACTTTCTTGGTATCTCTATCATTACAGGGAAGGATATGTGCCTTTTAGTGACAAGTAGTCATCTCATGGGATTATGATTAGTGTTTAAAGTACCATGTTTGTGCAGTTCACGAAGGGAAAATACTCTTCTTTCAAAGAGGCGAGAGCGACTCGTAATCCACACTTGTAATTGTGTTTGTGTGTGAGACTACTCATTCATCCTGCAATCTTAAGTGTCTTGCTTATTTACATTCACTTGTTACATCGTAATTATAACAATTCCCTAAATATATTAACCAATCTGCCAATTGGCACGTTCAGATATGTCAAATAAGATGTGTATGGGAGTCAAGATCAAAGATACAAATTTTAAATTAGTGATATGGCAGTTGTGCAATTTCATTTTGCTCTTTTCTCTAAAATTGTCCACCACTGGAACTATCTCTTGATCTAGCAGTTCCATTATTTGGTCCTTTATCTTGTGCAGCACGTACTCTTCAAAAGCTCTTCAGACTGCTGACAACTCTTGCAGTAGTTGTACATGACATTTATCAAACACTGTCTGATGGTTTACCCAGACATCACAAAGATTGAATCTGCCTCTTGTCATGTAACTTTTAAGTGACCAGGTCAACATAGTATTTTCTGTCCCTAAAGCTTAATTTTCTACAAAGTTTTTTAATATAATTATCATCACTTACACTTATTTTTCTCTACCATTATGCAAAATGTAATAGCATTTTATAAAATCATATTTACTTAGTAATTTTAAACAAATATTGTTACACTCGTAAGTTGCGCCTATCATTACTGTGAATTTGTCAAGGGAAAACTCAATCTCTGAAATGCTAAAAACATTAGACATGTACCATGAATCATACTGCAATAATCAAAGGAAATCTGTGACTGAATGTGACTCGATATTTCACTCTACTTTGGGCTGAACCTTGCTGAGGCGTGCAGCTCCTCGTCACTGGGGCTGGCTGACTCAGAATGTTGGTCTTCATCAGTCATCACTGTCACCAACTCGCTTACAGCTTTGCCCAAGTCTCCTGGAGATGGCAGTCAAAACACATTTAGGAAAAGTACAGTTCATAAGGAAGACAACCTGTCTTCCTCATCAGATGACAAAACTAATATGAAGAACTATTATTATCTACACATGTTATCTTACCTTACATATTCCACCCCTCCATCAAATTCAGTTGCAGAAAAATCAGACACTATGCAAAAAGTTATATTCCTTAGATTTTTACATACTAAGACAGTCATGCTTGAAAGGAAATGTGATGTTCATGTTCAGTCTTTCTATGTTCACCTTATACTGACATGTCATATAATCAGAGAGTTTCAAGCAGAGTGGTCAGTTAAGTCCCACCAACTTCACAAACAATACATCCGATACATATAAAACGTGCACCGTTATTTTTTTAATGAAGAATTATGTGCCTCCAAGAGCAATGTAAGAATTGATACAGTACTGCCAGAGTGGGGCAGCAAATGCACATGAGACAGTTTGTTTTAGTTCCTGAAGTGTGTAGTAACATGTATGGACCATTTCTGTCTGGTACACCCCCATGATATACTCTCACAACACGAGAGGTTTTGGCTCGTCTCAGAACACATCGTTGAAGAAAGGTTGCACGCTGATATCAAAATGTGGGTGGCCGTCTTGTTCGTTGATGGAAACCTCGAAGAAATATAGATAAACCACATGTGTGTGGTAAATATTGCTGCTCAAATCAAAATACGGTTCAAGTTTTGTTCCAGTTCCATTACGCCATGTGGATAATCCTTGTTCCAGAAATAAAACATTTCTAATTTTTTAACTGAGAAAACTGCAGCCATGAGAAAAAATTTCTTTCACATGCAGTTATCACTGTGGATAACATGGAAAAGAATCAAACATATATGCAAGAAATGAACCAATCTTCAGACTCACTGCCATGAAAACCTCAAATCCTACATGAACATTACTTCCAAGTGCCAATGCTACCCTCACTATATGCCAGAAACAAGTGCTCTAAAGACAAATAAAAATTACTCAATAACCTTTAATCTACCATTAAGAGATTCTCTCTTATCTCACTCTTACTCTGCAGAAGAATGTACTTTGAATACCCTAAATATTTCTTTGGAGTAATTACATGCTCTGTTGATACAGTATCCTTATAAAATACAATGCCTTTTAGGTGTAACAACTGACTATGTTTGTTTATATTTATATTTGTGTGAAGTGTATCTGACATGCTTCATGAACTTGGGTCAACCATATGAAGAATCTAATTAAACCCACGAAAGACTCCTTTATGAGAATGTAAGAGTTACTCAGCTAGCCAAAAAATCTTCTGCCTTTTTGTGGATCGAAATGGCTAATTAATGTTCTCACAACAGAGTAACAATGACATAGAGGAACCATAGAATGTTAATACAATTTACTTCTAACTCTAAAAAATTAATTTAAAAATCTAAAATATTCTATACTGATATTACCACAGACAACACTACCCTACTTCAACACTGCATTTACAGAGAAGAGGCTGAACATATTCAGGAACGGATATGTGAAATAATTAATAAATTTTCACTTTCTACTTCTGCATTATTACTCTAACATGATGACATGTTTATACTTTACAAAAATGTTGAGAAATTATTCATGTAACTACTTCACATATAAAACTGTGACGTATCCGGTGATTTTTACATTGTACTAAAAGTAAAAAATGAGCCCAGAGATTTCATCTAGCGAAGTGGCTGATTATGGTCAGGATGATAATAAGCAGACCTGCTCTGGAGCCCATCCAGATAAGTACTATCAACAATTTCTCTAGTGGTGAAGTGGCCAGGGCATGAAGTTGATAATTCACCTCCATCTTCCATCTAGTTCCACTTCTACACATGTCTTCATAGCATGGCACTTAGACACGAGGATATCTTTATTGTACCTTACCTTCTTTTCCACCCCCAAATATTTCCATTTTATGTGGGTCACGCCTATGCATCTATCTGTGTCTTCTCACAACTCAAATTTTTCCTTACGGTCTTCCATCTCTCTTCATGATATCTTTCCTAAATTGTTGTTCTCACTGAATCTCAGCACCCTCTTGAGAATTTTTCATCCACTTTCATGCTCAAAACCTTTTATGGCAGGGGTTCTCACCATTTTTCACTGGCATACCACTAATTCTAATTTAACACATTAAATGTACCACTAACCAAATGCATTCAGGGAAAACTTATGTTAATATTATATTTTGATTTTCTTATTTACTTTGCATACCACTCAAAATTTGCTCGCGTACCACCAGCGGTATGTGTACCATAGGTTAATAAACACTGTTCTATGGAATTCCCTACTCATTTATATAATTAAATATGTCCATTACCATCTCATTATTTTTTTCAGTTTTTCCTTTCATACTTAAAATGTTTATCTCTGCTGGCAAAAACCTACTGATATTTGCCTTGGTCCATGTTCAAGTTTTTGCTCAATACATTAACAAGAGCTGCAGTAACTTTGAATAGTCAAATTCTCCTCTTTTTAAGCATTTCCACAATTTTCCTAAATTTCTTATTATTCACGAAATTCCTCCTTTCATACTTCCATTTGTCACTGTTTTACTTCCTAAGCACATACATCTGCTTCTTTTCTTTCATGATATACCATGATTTATCTTTAACATGATGACTGTCTTCCAACTTAATTTCTTAGCCACACATTTATCTGTATCAACTTTTAATCCAAAATCTTTAAATGCTGCAAAAAGCTTTTTTGGAATTTCTTCTGTAAGGTACTATGTTGTCTATATATACCATAATTTATGGTAATCCACTTTCTTGTCCTGTTATTCTTCCTTTCGTCTCATCCATTACCATGTTGAACAGCACAGAAAATAAAACAATTCCCAGTCTAATCGCTCTGTACATTTGAAAACTTTAAGATTTCTTGTCATCTATGACCACACTGCTTTCACATTTGTCATAAATACATGAAAAGTACAAACAACTGAAAGAACACTCTGTCATGCTAAGGCATGCAACTACTCAAGCAGAAGAGAAAAAATAAACTATCTGAGCGGCAAGCTGATTCTAATGTTGCAAGTGTTTCATGTCAGAGCCTATTCTAAGTGCAATTTAAAGATGCAGACAATTCATCAACTGACTGACCTATATCCTGCCTGCTGCTGAAACAGTTGAAAAAATAAGAAATAACACACTAGTAATATTGTTTAAATGCTGGTATTCTCTGACTCATCTCATATTAATCAGATAATAAAATTCCTGAACCAATGATCACATAACAACACTAATTATCACACATTTATAAAGAATAAGTGAGGTAGACGCAGAACTGTGTTTCCTTTACTGACTGACCACCAGCTGAGCATTATGCGGAATAATTAAGGAAACCATGACACACAGTGTAACAATGAATCTTGCAAGCTCTGCCTTCATAACTGAAAACTGTGATTTTTGTACATAATTTCTCACATAAATAATATTATACTTTGTGAACAGAAATTTCTTTTAAATAATGATAAATCTTAATATCTTGAAGAGTAAATAATTTTCACAGCATGAGAAGCCTGCATGTTACATGCAGATTCTATAAGCTTGTAGTTGGTTTCTATTTACCATTTACAAATATGAAGTATGAACATTATGCACAACCTTCATTAAAATAAAATTTTCACATTTATGTCAGTCACAGTATTTTATATTAATTACAACATAACAAGTTTTAACTGTTCCATCATCACATGTGCTATATAATAGTGACACATGTTTTTATTTCAACTTATTATGCTTAGACATTTATACTGTGTTAGCATTGGTGCAATATTTCATATTTCTCACATATACCCATACTGTTATCATATGTACACTACCATTCTACAACACTATCAACATTGTAAGATTTGGGGTTTTCACAGCGGTGAGTATAAAGATTTCTGTCTTCTGGGTAGTTGCGCTGTGTAATCTGGTCGATGTTAACCAACGTTTCAGAGGTCATACTGCCTCCGTCATCAGGGCAGTATGACCTCTAAAACGTTGGTTAACATCGATCAGACTACACAGCGCAACAACCCAGAAGACAGAAATCTTCACTATCAACATTCATTAACCATTAGAACGGAACATACAGTCTAGCACAGCTACACATATCTGAGCAAGGCTACTCATCCTACAAGAAAAATTAAGAAACATACTAAAATGCACGAATAATTCATAATTATAAGTGCAGAAATGTCACTGATGCTCAGTATTAAAAACAATAACAGAAGCAGATGGCTATCTTCTGGGTTGTAACGCCATGTAGTATGGTAGAAGTTTACTGTCACCCTGATGATGGAAACAGCAACAATCTCTGAAATGCTGGTGAACTTCTACCAGACCACATGACACTACAACCCAAAAGACAGCCATCTTCAAACCTCAAATCCTACTTAATAACAAATTCACATATTTTATATACAAATTTTGTAATGTAAGAAACAATTTTAAAGTTTAGACAAGGGGTTCTTAACCTTTTCCAGACCTGGAGCCACATTAATCCTTTCTTACTGATCTGCAGGTAGCACAGCACACAAGATAATTTTACTGAAACTTGATGGTAATTTAGTGCCTACTATTGCAATGGATTTGGGTCACACATTACTCAGTTTTCTCTAACAAAAACAGTCATGAGTTACATATTTAACCATACCTTGGTTCAGTAATCTTTTAATACCATGTTTAATTTCTACTTTTGCATTTCATATGCATTCCTCCAGCAAATGTTCTGGTTCTTGATTTGAAGTGTTTAAGCCTACAGCCGCTCACAGCGAAAGCTATTGCCAAATACTGATGACATTAACAAAATATGCTCTCTGATATCAGAAAGCTATTTGCAACTGTGTTACATAAAAGTACACAGCCTACACAAACACACTGATAGATTGCAGGCTGAGAACCCCTGGTTTAGACAGTAATGTTATGGTTAGTGGCAGCCGATAGTGCGATCCAATGGCGGTGCAAATATAGTAGTAATATGTTAAAAATATGAAATATTATACCTGTGCAACCATAGCAGTAATGTTTAAAGCATGTTAATTAAAAACCATAAAAATCAGATGAAAAATTATAAAACATGTGCTATAAATAATATAAAATACTGTAGTTGTATTAACTGACATAAACGTATATATTTGAATATGTACATTTAAAGATTATAAATGTAAATAACACTAGTTTGTCTACTAATTATGATAGATAAAATTTAGAACTGCCTTAATCTTAACTATAATATTTTTCATGGGAACAGATGTAAACCCCTGTACAATGGTTAAGCCACCCAGATGTAACTCTGGGGATAATGGTTTAGCAGTAAAGCACGGTCAGCTTGACCACGCGTAAGTAGTAACACTCAAATGATGATGCTTAAGTTCTCTTGGTACTGTGAATAAAATCATCAAACAATAGCAACTCTTAATATATCACATGACTGACCAGCATCACTGCAGTTTTGTGCACTTATTTCAGGTGACAGAATGGTACAATACAAAAACCATTGTTCAAGTATTTTGTGCTAATGCAGAACAGTGACGATGTTGAAGGGACAGAAAGTAATCACGCAGGTAAATAATTATCCTTTGGAAATTAAAGAACTGGAAAGCTTGGGCTGGAAACATTCAAGAGTTTTTTACATGAGAGACAGAAAGAGTGACATTCATGCAACATCTGGGCACAGGTTCTGAGACAAGTTGTATACACCTTCTTCAAATAAGAGGGAAAATGATTACTTTCACAAATAAATACAAGAATTTATAATTCAAAACTCATGCCATTGTAGTAGCAGTTACCATTAAACTTTCTAGTTCCTGACCCAGTAAAACAGTCTAGTTTTTCACATACAACTGTCCTTTAACCTCACCTCTACACATCTTTACTGTAAATTTTTTGCATTCGTTTCTACATGGGTCATCAACCAGTGACCTGAAGTCCGAAAGACTATACAAATGCATCTCTGAGGAATAAAAACAGAAATGCATCCTTGCCATATTTTGTGTGTGTGGGGGACAAATCACTGAAGTCCTGACAAGATACAAAATGTCCAGGTGCGGTTAACAATCATTCCATAAATCCAGTTCCTCCCTCAAAGAAAACATTATACACTTTTGACAACTTGCTCAACGCTGCTAAGAAATAAGGATATATCAATATATAAAGTGGTTATTAAAACTATTCAATCTATAAGAATGTTGAAATGCTTTGACAACTTTCTGTTAAAATCCCCCAAAATGAAATTTTGTGGTAACCTATTCAGCCATTCATATATTACATGCAGAAATACAGATGGCCAAATTGATGGATGGAGTAATTTAATAGGCATTCCGCAGGGTTTTCAACATGCCAACAAAATGTTTCAGATGAAAACTGTAGGTACGTTAAAAAAGTCGCATGCTAACTCCAATGATTCATCACGAAATCAAAAGCTAAATACATGTCGTGAATGGGTACCAGTTTGTTTTACAACCCTTATACTAAAATGACAAGAAGTTGTTATTTGTATAACTTGTCTGACAAAGGAATGCATCTGGTGGTGTGCCAGGTTACATAAGTTGATATTTGTGTAGGATACATTCCACACAACAAAAAGTAAATGTTGGGGAAATAATAAAAATACAATAATAATTGAAAGCACATACTTTATAGAGCTGACTGCTCTATCAGAGGTCTGCAATAAGTGCAAGGACCATGCAATAATGCAGTTTTAGTGCCTGAAGAAATGAAAAGAGAAGAGAGCCATTGGCAATTAGTTGCCAAATACGGACAGAACTTGTCACAATTACATGTGAGTGAATAGACTGAAATGCTTACATAAGCAGCTGAACCAGTGTTATTGCTGCAAACAAGTAAGGCCATTCATCCATATTCACAAATAAATAAAACATGAATAATGCTCAAGCAATGATTCTTGGAAACAGTAGGAAAACTTCTGTGGAAATTGCTGAAAGACTAGGCATTAATGCTGCTTGTCCTTGGTGCAAACCTCTGCTGTAGCAACCATCTTTGTCATACTCAACACAGACTACAACTGAACCACACTCAAACAGTAATATCAATAAAATTACATACTTAATCAAGAAGACACCATATTACCTTTTTAAATTTAAAACTGGGAAATATATTTAATAGCACGGGGGGGGGGGGGGGGGGGGGGTTTCAAAGACTCTTAAATTTTGAACATATTCCATCTTAAAATTATCATACTTATTACTGGAAGAATATTTATTATTTTGTTCACATGATCACAATTTATGGAAGAAATTTTCACATGCCATAATGACAAACACATGGTAGACACAATTTTTCTCGCAAATGATCAAAATTTCCAGTATCATTACAGAAATTAATAGAAAACACATCAAATAAAAGCACTGTCAAGGCCATCAAATAAGCACGTCATGAACATAATTACAGGATAATAAAATCTTCATAAATAAAGTATAATGTTTCTTGGATAAACTGTAATGCTAGTGTTTAATGACAAAAACAAATTCAGACAAGAAGAAAATGTAGTGGAAATCCATTACAACAAGAATTCATAACAGCATGAAAAAGTGACACCACAAAAACACTTGTTACAGGCAGCAGAACTTGGAAATATAAAAATCATTCCAAAAACTAAATGGCTAATATCTGAGGTTATCCCACTGTAACCAATCTGCCAGTGCAAAAAAATGATTTTGGGAAGAGATCAGAATGTAAAAACAAACAGGAGGAAAGGTGAGAAAGAGAAATGTCACAAATTATGCCTAAATCAACTCAAATAAATTCAATGAGTTGAGAGCTGAATGTTTAGTTTAAGAACTCCAGCCAAGCAATCCATATCTACACTATATGACTAAAGATTCTCTCTTCATTCCAAATACTGCAACACTTACTGTAGTAAGATTTTATATAATGTTGTGTCTGGGTCAATGAAAGTTATCCTGATTAACACAGAACATACAAGATGTAAGAAGGAACCGTACAGCACCCACCTGCCATGTGTAGCAGATTGCCTACATTCTGAGCAGCAGCAACAGAGGAAGATGTGCCGGTGGCTGCAGCTGCCATGTTGTGTGAAACTGGAGGAGGTGGTGGTCGCATATCGCCAACACGATCCAGCGTGCTCCTACCACCTTCCACCCAGCGCCCACCTACACACACGCATATGCAACAAGCACAGTGGGCTAACTAGCAAGCAATGGAAACCCAGCACTATCCACTACAACACTACTGAAGTGCCAATATGAACCCAGAAACAGATAGTTGCATACAGAACTAAACTGTGGAGCAGAGAATAAGAGGGGTTTCCACCAACCAGCCAGACCAGAAATAACTTCATTTTTATACGGAATAAGTTAGATATTAAGTGAGGAAGCATGGTACACAACAAGATATGATAACAAACATGAGAATTCTCAGAAAAACATTGGTTGATGGCTAAACAAAGACTGACGGAGATATAATTCTTGATAACAGAAACTTGCTCATTTTTTATTCCAACCAACATTATGAACAGGATCCTTCCATCCTCTTCAGGTTGACAGGAATCTGTTCACATGCTTATGAGGCAGGTGATACAGAAGTGGTTTGCCATTTCCTTCTTCTGTGTGAATGGAGTAATTGTTGGGATGCCACGGAGAAACCGGGAAGCCCCCCGGAGGAAAACTCCATGTTGCCTAGACCACGGCCTGGCCCAACACAAGTTATAAATCTGAGCACCACCGGGAATTAAACCCGGGACCCCAGGCTTACAAGGCTAGCGTTCTAACTGCTAGACCACCGTGGTGGTTCCAACCAACTTATCAAACCTCATAACCAACTTTCTATCCAACAATCGGTGCTTTTTGCATCATAGTGTTATTGCTGTATATTCTGCAACAGTTACAGTAGTATTTTCTGGGGGGTATAGGTAAAGAAGTAAAATCATGATTATCTTCATGCCTCTAACCATTAATTTAGGAAAGAAAACAGTTGCTTCAAGAGGCACAATGGAAGAAAACAAGAGCAACTGATTTATGTTAAAAATATGCTTCATGAATTCAAAATTTTACTGTTAAACAAATCAGGCTCTTGCAAATCCCCCTTGTAAAACTTGTTTTAAAATATAGCAATTTAAACAAATCTTATACATCAAAACCCATAAAAATACACAGTAACATAATTGCTCCATATTTTCAGAGTTTGTGAATGGTTGAGTGAATAAAAGTTCACTGCTGCTTTTGAGAACTCATTATATGCACATTTCAATCTACCATTCAACTATTCATAAACCTGTCTCACATTTTATACATTTTCTTGGCAACATTTTTTATTATACCTGGCTGATCAGCACATATTAATAAGTATGTCAACATTTCTGTACTTCTTACCTCCTGTAATGTACATTACAGAATGGATGCTTTTTGAATACAAATCCAGGCATGAATTATGTAAGCATATTCAGGTCAGAAGCAATTCTATAAATGTGACGTACTTTGAGTTTATTTCTGTCTAAAAACATGGAACAGACAATAAAAATAAACACTTTCAAGCATTTTTGGTATGCAAGCACCGATCAATCTCATAGGTGCTACAGCTAACACACCCTATATTAGAATTTTTTTTTATTACTTAAAAGTTTGTGCTTACTTCCAGAGTCATGATAATGCCCATTCATTTTAGCAGGTGAATCTGTGGCCAACTGAGATGCTGTCACAGATCGGGTCTGCAGAGTTCCTGTCTTGGAAGGAGAACTGGAACTCGGCTGTGGAAAGAACAGAACATTCATGTCTTGTGATCACCCTAATATCATAAATCAGAAAGAATAAATTTAAAACCTCAGTGCCATTCAAGAAACTCAGTTGTCAGGCTGACACAATCCAATACAATCAGTATATCAGTGACACCATAAACTTTGGCCTGAAAAGCAAAAATATGTACTTTCCATCCCATTTTTATAGTTACTGAGGGTAGCAAAAAAAGTTAAAATACATATTTAGCTGACAAAGTTTTCTATTCCACTATCAGGTAGCTTAACTGACACCAGACAGCTTTGAAGCTCGCAGATTATTTACCTGGATATTCTATAATGCTATATCAACTACTGTGATTAGGTAGTGCCAAATTATAAAATTATGTGTGACAAGTATGAATAATAAGGTGGGAAGAAGCAACCACAGTACACAAAACAGTAAGGTCACCTGGAGGGACAGAGGAAAATCACAAAAATCTGTCATCATAGCTCTCATCCACGCAAGATTAACCCCAAATCCTACTTCATTGGTGACTCACTCAGTAGATGGCAGATTGAGTGATGTTAATATTTCTTCAGCATCTGTATGTCTATATACAGTTATAGTGTGGACACGTCCTCAAAAGGAGATTACGTCCTTAAACCCAAACTTATAGTTTGTATACATTTACCTCGTCCAATAACTGTCTAAGTCGCTGAAGCTGAGCCTCCAACTGACGGTTATGGTCTTCTAATATCTGCATGCGAGCCTCGAGTCGGCCTTTGTGCTGGCGCAACAGCTTTGCTTCTGCCAGCAATTCACACTCAGGAGGCCTTGGGCCACCAGGCAGATGTGCGGACTCCTCAGGCGTTGATCCAGGTGTCTGCTTGGCTCGCAAGCGCTCATATTCTGCCTGAAGGGATGCATTTTCCTCCTCCAATTCACTGTGAAATTATATTCACAATAGTACTCTGTTTTATCAAAGTTAAAAACAATGAGATTAGTCCTTTTTAATGGACTCTGCATTAGGTTCCTAAAACAGGAAGAGAGCCAGTTTCTGGAATTTTCTTTATATAAAACAACCAAGACAATGGAAAAAGTCCAAAAATTCCATGCAAACTATAAAGCTTCATAAAATAATAATAATAAATATATAATTTTCCAAGCCACTGATTAATTGTATTATAAACCTGTGAATTTGGAGATTCCAACAAGTGCAGAACAGTGTTTGAATTCAAACCAGAAACTTACCTCTCCCTGTCACCTACCAACCTGCCCTCTGTTTCACTATGGCCTTACCCTGTTCCTAATTAATCCACTGAGTTAGCTAGGCACAAACAAAACCTATGAACCATAAAAGAGAACTCAGCAAGAGCTGAATAAGAGAATTTCAGAATTTTGTGGCCAATTGCAGTGTAATCAATAGCGGGGTTCTTCATGTGTGATCGACTACAGTTACTTGGTCACTCAACATAAGGTCAATTACAGATGTGACACACACAAGAATCAAGAATAAAAATTTATAAGAGAACCGTTAGACCAAATTAACACAATGAGGAAGACTGATGAGTAAAGACCAGCTGAAATCCATTTCATGAGATAGCAACATATATTTCTTAACCATGGCAAAAATGAAGTAAATAATTTATATACCACTACAACTTTGAAGAAACAAGTAATAACATTGTTAGGATTCCATCATGCCAAAAAATAAAATATCAAATAAGAGGAAAATGACGATTTAGAAGACTTCAGACAACTAGGCCCAATATTAAAAAAATTATGAAGGGTAATGGCCAAAAAATAACAACAAAAATATTAATTTATGAATGTATCATCTTAGCACATAAATCCAAAATAAATTTGATGATTGCACCAACTAGCTCATGTGACCTATACTTGGCAGAATTTAGAATGAGAAGAAATTTGGAAGCTGACTTGTCAAACTGTCTGTGTGACGTACTTACCGTATCATGGCTTCTAATTCCTCACGCTGTTCTTGGTCGATGGCAACCATAATCTGAACTGGACTGCGGGGCACTGGAACTGTATCACCTCCATTCAGTGACTGACAGTACTGGGCAATCAGCTGGTGCTCATCATCTCTGTGATATAAACAAAATAACTCTCAAAAAGATTGTATTGCTACTGCATGGTAACCTTGTGATGGTTATGTGTACATTCTGTGCAACAAAAATCAAGTATTTAAAATTTCAAAAAGTCCAAAACCTGAAGTGATGTAAACATACAGCTGGCATCATAATACCAATCATTCATAATTTATTTGTATTTGTCCATAAGTGGCTTTGCTCCACCTTCTGTTAATTGCATTTATTTATGTCATTATGTCTGTTAAGCAAAGGCACCAACATGTTTTTTTTGGACTTTTCCAAGATATGTGACTATAACATTATGAAGGCAAAGAAAGACTATACTTTGTTTGGACATCCATATTTGCTAGTACACAAGTTGATAGGATACATGATGTGAAGGTCAAATATACAAGTTCAAGTTGTAATTATCAGGATATGTATTTTTAATGCATATGCTATATTCAAACAACTCATAAACTCATAAACTATGAAGCTGTATGTTATCCGTCTAGGGCTATATGTTTCAAGGTTTCCACATCAAATTCACCAACAGCAACTGTAATAGATACTGAAATACGTAGATTTTAAATTCAACAGCAAATGTATAATCATCATTTGTCTGTAAAGCACGTTAAATCCAGTAACTTATGTTAACGAGAAATAAGCAAATGATATCAGCTTATTATCGTCCACATTATCACTGTATTATTTGTGCTTTACTGGTGAGGCTAGAAGTGTGTAGGAGGTAGGCATTGCGTTTCTTCTCTCGTGATTTCATGCTCATCGGCATTGAGACTTAAAAGGTTTTATGTTCAAACCAGACTGTGGACTAGTAATTTTATTTTTCAAAATATGAATTCGTAGGTTAGCGTCTTTAACAAGGTTTTCAGAATCCATCAGTCTACACTGAGAAGAATGACATCTGTGGCTGCAGCTCAACACCAGCCTCCTACTCCACCAACTTGTCTTCCAACTAATATAAATTTCAAAGAAAAGTAAAGTGTTCATTTTTCTCTTACCATCAATCCTAGTCTTATATCTGGGAAAAGTCATGAACATTAATTCATGCTTTTCTCCAAATTAGACAGGCATATTTGTGTCGCTACTTAACAGAATTGTTATAAATAACTGTAAGTAATAAAAGTTAGAGAAAACCCATGTTCTAAAAATTGGGATTATGATGTCACTTGTATTCTCTATCGCTTCTAGTTATATGAGCAAGAAAATTGTAACCACTTGTCTTTTGTTGCAGAGTGACGTACACAGCAAAGAAAAGTAAACTGTTTCAGAGGAAATAATATAGAAAGAATGGTATACAAAATTCAAAAAAGGTCTATATAAAAACTTCCTGTGCTCTGTGCAATTTATAATATACATACGAAGATGTAATCACCAATCCCACGATCTCTACCACATACATTCTATAAAAATATCATCAGTTAAAATGGATAATTACATTAAAAATTTAGAATTGATACCATTTCTACCACCGACACTTTCCTTACTACATTAACCACAGCAAGTGCAACATGTAAACAAACAAGTAATTATGAATTTATTTCACGTCATTCACACAATATGAAGTACATGAATAAGTTTTAAAGTTTTGTACTGCTTTCATCTTTCTGCAACACTTAGGCATCAAAGAAACATTTCTCTATGTATTTACCTCTTTGTTAAATCTTTATAATTTCTGTACATTACTGTGCAGGTGTGTGTTTATGTGATACATACGAGTCAGGGGTGGAATTACTCCTGGTGCGCAATTCCACCTCTGCGAGCCGCGATGCGTACATTTCTAGTCGTGAATGCATGTCCTGGCTGAGAGTGGAGTGTTGAGGTGAGGGAGCAGGACTCTCCAGGGCATCTCCTTCTAGCACTGTCTGCACAGGCAAGTAACCCACTCGAGGATGCTTCTTAAAGTAACGTTTTGACTTAAACTTGTTGCGGAGTGCTCTTGTGAAGTCCCTGACATCTTCACCAGAAGTAGTCTTTGTAAAACAACAAAGTGAACACATTTAATTTCTTACACATTTATTACAACATTATATAAACCATTGAGAAACAATAAGACCAACTTACAGCTGTGCAATATTCTTGCATAGGGTGCGTAAGTTTATGGTTCTTTGCTTTCCTCCCTGAGAAGAAACAATTCTGACACATGTCGAAGTTAAAACACTTCAAGCAGCGATATCTGAAACAGAACACAATGTGTGTAAAATAATTTTATCATTCTACCTGCAAATTCATACTTTTAATAATTTAAGTAAATTTATGCAGTTCACCTAATTACCACAATCTACTTTAAAACCCTAATTTTCTACCTTGACCTACAGTTGTGGTTCAGTATACACATTGAGAAAATACTGCATCACAAAAACCAAGCAACTACTTACAAACTATTTCTCAGAACAAACATCAGCTGTGTTTCTGATGTTTTGTGAACAAACTAAACAAAATATTTTGATTATAAATGTTTTTTTGATTATTTATGCATCTTCTCCCCTTCATTATCCCAGATACTCTGGAGTCTACTTTACTAATATTTTCACAGCTGAATATTTAAGTACAATTTAAACCTGCAAAATGTATGTCTAAAATTGGAATATACTAAGTTTTGTGAAGTTTCTGTGGAAACTGAGTGGCAATCGCTGGGCAGAATATTAGATTATTGACATCTAAATAAGACAATACGAATGATCAAAGTCACTTTGTGTAAAAGCTAATTTTAAGTGAAACAACAGGCCCATACCTAAACCCTACTATTGGGTATTCCTTGCAGATGTTGCACTTGGCCTGATGTTTCGCTGTCTCCGCAGCAGATAGCCTGTGAAGGACTGGAAGCCACACCATGCTCTGTGGCTCTTGCTGCAGCCAGTTGAGGAAATGGATGGCCTGTAGAATACATCCCATAAGCAGAACAATGGGAGAGATTAATGGCTGGAATCTGTTTTGTGGAACAACCTTTCTGATCAGAAAGTAAATGTAGACATACTTGCACTATTACATATTTAATACGTAACAGTTTTAAGACAACACTTCAAAATAAACTGGAATGCAAATGTTGAAAGGATGATTATGATGGAATGTAATTATTCCATTCCAGCCTTAACTTCAGAAGCATGACTAGTAGTTAAAAGAAACAATTTTGAATAAGACAGAGAGAAAGAAAGAAATCATTATCAAGGATAAAACTGTAAGTAATTCCCAAATTTTTAAAGGATCCCACAGAGTCCCTTGAACTTAATTATACATAAAATAAAATTCACCTCTATGGAAGTTTTATCTTTCCCTGCTTTTTCAAAACAGCTGCGAACTGATGGTTCTATATTGGAGCCTCCAAAAGCTGCTACTTCACCAAGTTGGCGTGGCACCTGAATGCAGTCATGCAAAAGAAGACCCAGTTTACGCTGGTCCACTAATCGGTTTGGATCCGCAATCAGCCGGAATAAATCTGCAAATCATACAATTTAAGTCGCTACAAAATTACTGTCACTGAAATAATAAGTTCTTGGAAATGAGAAATTTGATTTGTGGCTTGGGAAGGGTTAACTGATAGCTGTTAGAAGTACATCATACTCACATCTATACTTTTCTTCTAGATGTCCTTTGCAGAGTAAGACAAGTCCAACTTTGAAAGACAAAACTCGAATCTGTCCTGTGCGTTGGCTGAAAGGAAATAAGATGAAAGATATACACAAACATGACAAACTAATTTATTCATATTGAAAAATGATATTTACTTTATCTCATCATAGTCTGCAGAGAATACAAATGGCTCACCTGTCATAGACATTGAGCAGCCAGTTTATGGCGAGGTCGAGGCAGAGTGGCACATTAACAAGATTGGGGTTATCAGCCGCAATCAATTCATACAGGGAAGTCAGAACAGTCACCATATCAGGAACATCAATTAATTTGTCATTCTGCGCTCTCAAACCATGAGAGTCAAATGACTCCAGAGCAGCTGCTAGACTGAGGAGATCCACTAAAAACAAAAATAAAAAGCATAATACCAATAACCAGCAGTTCCATGAATGAATTAGTTTACAAAAAGTACATGGCATTATTATACTGTGTATCTGAATCAAGAAGACATATTCTGGGATATTGTGCCTTGTAGTTTCACAGGATACTGTGCTGTGTAGTCTCATAGACAATGACCAACGTTTCAGACGTGTTTATTGCCTCCATCATCAGGGCAATCATGATGGAGGCAGACTTGAAGAAGCCTAATTTCTATGATCAATCACCAAAAAGTTCACGACAATGGATAGATCATTAAATCATGTTTAATGAATTAATTTATGCTAATTTAATGTGACAGCCCTACAGATAAGGTTAAAAAGTGGCTAAGTGAGACTGGAAGTTCTCAGTGCAGCAACCATGAAGATAGCCGTCTTCTCGGTTTTTGTGTTATGTAGTCTGGTAGTAGTTTACTCTTCACTCTGATGATGGACGCAGCAAACACCTCAGAAAAATCAGTAAATTTCTACCAGACTACATGGCACAACAACCCAGAAGACAGCCATCTTTAAAAGTAGCTACTTGCATCATATACTTACAGCATAATCGTTTCTGCACGGTTCGAAGTTTCATAGCTGTTCTGTATGCTGAGAAGCGAACTTCATTCAGGTCAGAGAGAGAATTCATTAGCTCAATCATTTTGGGATGGTCCCAGTGTGTAGTTTCCAACTCATGACTGAAACAAACAATACATACAGGTCCATAGGTTTTCACAGCTGGAATTCAACATATAACTTCAGCTTTCAGGTGACATGATGTGGCACTCTCCCAAAAGCCAAAGTTATACAATACATACAAATATCAGTGTTGGTCTTGTGGGTTGTGATACCATGTGGACTTGTAGGTATGTACCAATGTTTCGGAGGACCACGTTTCCTTTGTCTTTAACCAACACACAACAGAAAACGATGCCAAAATGTTCTAAAAGTCATACTGTACTTCCGAGGAAAGTGGCAAACTAACCCTCAGACGTGGTTTTACGTGTACACACGCGGGCATTTAAATTAAAGTTCTTGTGGATTTACGTATAAACACGCGAGCCTCAAAGCCTAATTTAAAACGCCCATAAGTATGGAATAAATAACGCCAGCGCGATG